TAGTAAAACCTTTGAACTTCACATTACATGATCCTTCCAGGACCCCACTATGTTAAAAATAGAGCAATTAGCCATAAAAGCCCCAATTTCTCATTTTTTAATCAAACTACCTTACCAAGTATTGGGGGAATACACACACACACACACACACACACACACACACACACACATACATATATGCACACACATATGACTGTACACATATATATGCATTATATACAAAAGACATACACAAACTCATACATGGGCTTTTATATGACTGAAGAGAAACTTTCTTTCTTTAACTTATTCCTTTATTTTTTTAATCTTTATTGTATTTTTTCCATTACCATTTAGTCCTCTTATACTCCCCTCCCCCCAGCAATCCCCACACTGTTGTCCCTGTCGATGAGTCCTTTTTCCTTATTTTTGCTCTATTTTTAAATCCAAACTTACATTCCTAAAGCTTTAATAATTTCACCAATATTATGGACCCTAACTACATAAGAAAATCAATAACACTGAAATTGAAAAATTAAAAAATTGGACTATATTTTCTAAGAGACATAACTGTTGGCTTCCCAAATACAGGTAGAAAGTGCAAATATTTTGTATTTTCATAAGAATATTTCCTTAAGTAATAATTAACTACTAACCCAAAAGAGATCAGTTTTGGATGCATTGCAAAACAGGTTCTGCTATCGGGCAGCTAGGAAGGATCCAGAAGCAGGAGAGCATAGCTGTGTGCATTACAAGTCCGGGTTGCCCCCAGGACCCACTCCTGCAGAGACGGGGCCACCCACCATCACACGTTAAAACTTATCGGGCAGAGGTTTCTACGGGAGACCATGCGACACCAACAACCACACGGAGTACTGTCATGGAGCACAACCAGGAGAAAAAAAAAATTTTTTTCAAAGAACAGCAGAAAGACAAAGAAGAAGAAAAGAGTTAAACAAAAGCAAAAATACAAAGAAAGAAAAAAATAGCAGAAGGAATCTTACCAAAACATTTCTCCAAATTCAAGCCACACTGTTAGCCAAAACTCCTGATTCACACGAGGTTACTGTAATGGTATATAATAACCACTGATTTCCTACCCTTTAAGGACTTATACACATCATATTGTATATGGTACACACAGTAAATTGTACGGGAAGTATTAACTCATCTGTTTATGCTGTCAAACGAAGACCATGTGCTAAAGACGTACAAATGAAGCTATTATATCCCAAATATGTAGTTGTATTATGACAGCCAAATATGGATCAACAAAGTGCTCAAAAGAATCACTTTTTTAAAAAAAATTAATTTCAGTAGAGGAAAGAGATGACTTTGGGGAAAGAGGGTATGGTTTTGGAAAAGACCTGGGATGATGGGGATTCTCTGACTGGAGGTCAGGGGCTGACTGGAACGAGACTCTGCCCACAGCGAAAACAGAAGCAGAGATCTGCTGTGGTGCTTGCAGAGCCCCTGCTGACCCAAGGTACCAGAGTGACATGTTTCACAAAACACAGGCACAGCTGGCACCTCATCTGGAGTAAAGGACATCATCCTATATTTCTCCCTAGGTGGCTTGATGGCATCTCTCTCCAGGCATGATGAATCAATAGCAGACACAACCTCAAGCTACAGAACCCAAAGAATGAAATATGTATACCTATCCCTAGTTAGAAGTAAGCCAAAAGGAGCTTACGTTTCAAAATAATTTGTTTGCCACAACAGCAAATATAAATACATAAAAATAAGATTGGGGTCATATTCTATACAGCAATGAATCATGCAAAAATGATTCTATGAGATTCATTTAAATTTCTTCCTACAATATTCAAAGAAATTTAAACAGTGAAAGGATATCTCAAAAATACAAAACACACAAAAAAAATTAAAATAAAATGCTTTACAGGTGATACATCTAAAAACATGCAACACTTCTAAATAATAAAGGTAAATATAAATAATGTTTTCTTTTCTAGTATATCAAGAAATAAGAAACTATCTAAAGGTTTCATTTATTTTCCAAAATTAAGGATTTTCCCATATCGTTTTGGTTAGAGAATGAACAAATTCAGGAAGACTGATTCTCTACTCCTTGAAAATTTACAATGAATAAAATCATTATTTGTTTTTTAAATTAGCTTAAAGTTGAGATTAATGGTTCTATAAACCATGAATATACATTAAGATATACATATAAGTATCCATATACTACTATATAAACACATATCAGATTTCTGTAGCTATAAAATATTTCAACTAAGTTATTCTTTCTATTATCAGGGAGCCACATTAACCTGGAAATGAATCCCTGAAATACATGGATAATTCTCTCACAGTTTTCTCACAGTTTTGGAAACATTTTGCCTCATTCTAAACATCCCTCAGTGTAGTTACTTTTGGTATATGACCACGGCAATGATTTAGGAATTGATATTCTTGTATAGAACTTCCTCTCTATACCCATATTAACAAGGCCAAAGTATTCTTTTATTTGAATCTAGAAGTATAAAATTTAAACTGACATTTAAAACAAAAAGCAAGTAAACTCAAAATTAGGTCAGAAAAACCTGTTTTTATATTAAGGAGTTGCTGAATATATTGAATATATAAAAATAAATAAAACTGGAATGTTTTAAGATATATCTTTATATGTTTACATGATAAAAGTTTACAGTTATTATTCAAGTTATTAATTAATTCCAAGTCTATTGGCAGTGAGACAGCATTATGATGTGGTGCCCTCTGCTGGGCTTTCTAGTCACAAGCTCAACCTAATATCACAATTAGTAAAATCAAACACTTCAGGCATCAAGTGAAAAATTATTTTCAATATTTGATCACTTTAAGCCTTGGCAAAAATTATATTAAAATTATAACCAATACTTACTTTACTGTAACAGGACTTTGAAAATTTATCCTTGAGAGAAATATCAGTATAGATTTTCCTTTTTAAATAAAACAGTGTAATGTAAAAATTGCACTAAACAACATGTTTTAATAGGTCTTATTTTTGTCACCACATCTATCACTTGGCATATGCAGGCTCTGAATGCCATATTTATAACAAGACAATATATTCAGATTTTCAAGTCCACATTTTTTACTTTTTGACAAATTACTATTTTGGTCATTTATTTTCCTGCCTCATTAGTTACATCAAAATAGTTTATTTTAAAACACCAGAATAACCCTTAATATTATCCTCATTATTAGAAAAAACTGAAAGAAGTTTAAGAGATACTCATCACCAATAATAATAAATAACTTCCATTTATTGTGTCAATTATGAGAATGTAGTGCATGTTACATAGCTTCTATACACTATATCCAGTTCCAAGAGATAAAAAAATATTGTGGCTCATGGATATGGTATAAATTGTTCAAGATGAATTTCAGAACCAAGATTCAAATATAAGTAGGTCTCATTCCAAAGACTCAAAACCTTTCTACCACAATAGACAACAGTGGAAAAACACTTCCGACGTGCAATTTCTCCACCTGTCAGTGTGACAACATCTGGCAGTTTCGGGGAGGTGAGGGGGCTAGTTGATGGGAAAAAACGTGAGAGCAGTGTAAGGTACTTATTCAATACAATATATTAACTCAGACCTTTAGGAAAATATTTTTGTTTTACATAATGCTGCCAGCTAGTGGCTCTATTTCAGACTGAGTCGCTGAGAACAACACTTGACTTTTACATTACTGAATCAAAATTCCCATATTTAACACTCTCAAATTGTGTTCCTGAATTATGCATGCATAAGCCTGACTTAATGATATTTTTACCTGACCCCCGAACTAAAGGACAATGTCTCCCTCAACACCATGAGCACGGCAGTCCTCGCCCAAAGCCCTGACAGAAATATGACCTATATGCCTGAGCAGAAAAGAATTCACGAAGTGCCAACACGCAGAAACTAAAAGATACACCTCACTGTCTGTGAAAAAGAAATCTACATTATTTTAAATACTTTAGGATTTTTAGGATATTTATAAATTTCTGAGTGACAAAATACATATTTTTCTATACAATGAAAAGTTTATCAGACTGTGGATATAAGAACTAAGTATTGTTAGGCATTATTCTATGCTGATTTAATAAAGTAGTACTGCTAGCATAGAATATTGTTTTAGTTGAGATAATAAGTACTTATAGTTCTGAAATTTCCTTTGAGAAAAAAACTATTTGAGTACTTAAATTTTTACGTTTAAAACTGGCATATCTCATTGATAATTCATTATTTTAAGAGAAATATCCTAGATAACACACATAAAAAAGTACACAGCTTCTATCACAGTATGGTGTTTAGTGCAATGATATAAAGATGTCTTCATTTGATTTCTTTAATCATATGACATTATAACTATTTAAATGACTTTCTCCCATCCAAGTACTAACCAGGCCCGACCCTGCTTAGCTTCCGAGATCAGACGAGATCGGGCGCGTTCAGGGTGGTATGGCCGTAGACTATTTAAATGACTTTCTCAATGGAGAAATCATGACTTACAGGCTTACATGTAAAAACAGTATGTTCTATAATATTGTAATATTGCATAAAACAAAAGCATTCTTGGATTAAAGTACATTAGCAGCAAGGGTGTGTCCTGGCATCATTCTGTAGTGAGAAAGAAGAAGCCGGAAGTAGGAAAGAAAGCACGCGAAACACAGCAAAGAAGGAGATAGCCCCTCGGCTGGATTAACGGAGAAGGTCAAAATGAAAGCAGCAGTAAAAGGGACCGTCCTGGAGAATCCAGGGCTCCTTCTGACCTGCATTCCGTCACACACACACACACACACACACACACACACACACACACACACAACTGCCAAGTGTAAAACTGTTAATCCCACTCCGAGGGCACCTTCTATATGAGGCTGACTTTGCAGCTCAGAACAGTAAGGGTTTCTATCATGCACACACATTAGTCAGCATAATAAACATTAGTGAGAGCAAATACCAATTATACATTCATTTTTTAAAATACTAAAAATATTTCTATATAGCGATCATATAACTTACAAACATTCCCTGTATTGTCAAAGCTGGTAAGAACATCTTCAATATTCAAAGATCCACTGTTATGCCTAGAAAGGAATAAAATATTTCCTTAAATGATTATGGAATATTAAGACTTGTTAATTTTTTTAAAAACTGAGACTGCACTGTGATACACTCAGTACTAATAAACCCTTCCATGTTGTATTTTTTAAATATTTCTGCCCACTAGAGGGAGAAGGAAAAGAAATAACAGAATATAGTCTTTCCAATATTTAATGAAATGACATTTCCTGATAATTAATCTACATTTTAAAGTACTAATGTTTTTATTGTTGTTTTAGTTATATAAAGGTGGGATTATTGACTGTTTTAAAGATAAAACCTTACACTTTGAGAATCTCAAAAATAATCAAGCCCCAGTACATCAACAATACATATGTGCTCTAGAGCAGCCCAAAGAATTCAGAACTTCAGCCACAGAGAACTAGTCAACCTCTAGATCTGCACATTCCATCTGCATAGTCACATCTTCGACCCATATCAGATCATGTGATTTGCCAATATTTTCTCCCATCATGTGGGTTGTCTTTTCACTTTCTTGATAGCATCCTTTGATGCACAAAAGTTTTTAATTTTGATGAAGTTCAACTTACCTATTTTTTCTTTTTTGTTTATGCTGTTGGTGTCATATTTAGCCCTGGCTTACTGTTAACCTCTAGTTTCAACCAGTACCATTTTTTTTTCCTTTTCAAATAATTATTTACCCTAGTGATTTGCTCCTTAGTCCTTATTACTTCACAAGCCATTCTTGGGAAAAACTCAAAGGTCCTCAGCTCCTAGGTTAGGTGCTTGTGAACAAGTTGGTTGATTTTGGGAAGAAGAAACTGGCTACTGGTAACAGTTTTTCCCATTGACATATAACATTGTGAAATTTAAGGTGTATGATATTTTCATTTGATATATGAGGGGGACCCCAAAAATTGAATTTATTTATTAAAAATTGTGTATTCATTCTTACATATTTAAACTTCAGTCACCTTCAAAGTACTCTCCATTTGATGCAATACACCTAGCGAGATTTTTTTTTCCACTGCTCAAACCAGTTGTTGAACTCGTCAATTTTGATGCCTTAAATTCTTCTACCATTTTTTCATCTCTTTCACATCAGGGAGGAGGAAAAGTCACTTAGGGTGAGATCAGATGAATAGGGAGGGTGGGGCAGAGGGGTCATGCTGTTTTTGGTCAAAAACTGCTGAATACTCAACACAATGTGGGCAGGTGTGCTCATAAATCACCCATTGTGAAATGGGCAAACATACTGAAAACATCTTCAGAAAAAAGTCACTAGAGCCGAATGCAGCCTCTCACAACACCACCAGTTGGTACACTGTTACAGATGGGTTCTTAGAACTGACCTAGCAGGGGAAGCCTGTGCTGCAAGGGGCCCACTCTCCAGAAGATAATTCTGGTTTTGGGGGGTTCCCCCTCATATTGTAAAATGATCATTACCATAGCATTAGCTAACACCTCTATGATGTCACATAATTATCCTTTCTTTTTTTGTGGTGAAAACATCTAAATTAAAGTCTTGAGAGACAAGTTAAAGCTTGGGATTTAGGACAAAGTTAGGTTGGCAAAATATGTTGGCAAAAGTTGTAGTTGTTACATATACTAACATTAATTATCAGTATAATGCTAAGACTGTCCTTATAGGTATTACTATGTAACCATATTGTTTAGGTAGGACTTAGGTAAGCAGTTGAAAGATTAAGGATAGACAAGATCTCATAGAGTTGACACTTGAATAAAGTAGATGACTCAAAGACTAACTAAGAGTCCTTGAGTTTGGAGCAAATAAAAGTGAACTTGAAATAATCAAAGTAAATCTTTACCACACTGTGTTTGTGGCCATCTTCCTATAATTAGTACTAACTGAGGTTATTCTTTCATGAGATTCCATCTTTTAGGGCTTCTAGGCTTTATAGATAACTGACTTTCATGTTTGTTAGTTACTTAAAGGTATATGGTTAGTTTGCTGTTTCTCTACCCCGACCTCATTTAAAAGTGTCATAGGATACATGTATAGTTTCTTGGCTTTAAGAAATAATGCTTTTAAGAAGGTAAGCTTTGCATCAGTGATAACTGTGAAAGTCACACTTTTTATTTTGAATACTGCTTTCAACTTTTAAACATGCATTTCACTTCAGCTATCTCACTTTCCGCTTTTTAGATATATTTACCTTTTTACAACATATATGCACCTTTTTTCTACTCTTGTCTCAGATTCAGATTTCATTTTAAAAGTTTCTTGTATTTTGATTTGGAGGAGAGAGGGAGTAGGGGGAGAGAGAGGAGAGGGGAAGAGAGGGAAGGAGAACAAATATGAGACGATGTCCTTATTAAAACTAGGTCATCTAAGCAATAAAACAATTTCACTTTTAGGAATCTATCCTAAGGAAATCATAAGAAATGGGTTCGCTGATGCTTCTACAAGATGTTCACAGCAGCAACATGCAGAACAGCACAAAACTGAGTATAATCTAAAAATCCAACATTAGCGTTGGTTCAATATATCACGGTGCAAACAGTCATTGGACTACTTGGCAGCCATTAAAATCGAGTTTTGGGAAGAATACTTAATGATGTGGGAAACTGTAATACGTTAAATGAAAAAACACAAGGTGCAAAACAGCATGGACGATGTTTTCAGTTATTTAATGGCAGGCATACAAGCACAGCACAAAATGTGAAGGCCCTGCACTGAAGTATTAACTACAGTTAGCTCTGCATGACAGGATTATGAGAAGTTTTTCTTGAAGGAACCATATGTTGCTTTTACATTTAGGAAAAGGTTTTTTGAGTATTATGCTGTATTGCTGATCATTTTAATAGCTTCATCTTGTAGCTGAGATGCTGATACTTTGTTCCCTTTCTCTCTCGTCTCACATGTAGTTTGCCACGTCAGCAGGAATAACCTCACCCACGCCTAGAATCCTGCATGTGCAGAGAAGATACACAGTCACTGTGTGATGGTGCTAAAAGTCTGATCTGTGTTTGAAACTGGGTTCTGGGAACTCCTCTGCAAGGGCTGGCTCAGAGGGCAGAAACACAATGTACGCGGGCGGTTCCGCGCAGAGGGAGGCGGTTCAGGGCAGGCTTCTGCCTGGCGGGCGTGAGAGGCCTCTGTGTAATAAGGGCTGCCACGCTATGTTTCGTTTTTTATTTAACATGCACCCAGTTAGCCACCAGCAGCCCCTTTTAGTAGGAATCTTCTTTCTCAGGATTCACACTATACATTTTAAATATGAGTTCAATGGTCACATTTGCCTCAGATGACAGCCTTGCCAGGCTTCTCGTGGGTGTCTACGATACCCACACATTAAGGATAACCTGCCATCCGTCTGATATCATAAGCGTGCCATTCCCATCACTGGTTTTTATTTACTGAGCACTCCCAGAACACTTACTAAATTCAGTGGGTTGAGGGTTTGTCTAAGTTTTCCCTTTCCCTAGAGACGCAATACATGATCGCGCTGCAGTGCATTTGTCGTATTGTACTCGAAAGATGCACAAAGACAAAGTCATTCTTGACTTCTTGCCCATTCTACGCTCCCAGGACAAGCCAAAGTCAAGAGGCTTCTAATTCAGCAATTACCATAGCAACAGTAGTCTTATTCAAAGAAAGGAGGACAGTTCAAGCCTCTCAGCTTTTTCTATACCTAACCCATGTATACATTTATAAATGAATAATCCTGGCAATTCTATGGTTCCAAATATAATGGAAGTATTTCAACCTTCCAGAATATGTAAATTCCTTGTGCACTGAAAATAAGTTGAAATATGGGGGGTGGGGAACAATTTGTAGTATCTATAGAGTAAATGCTACACAATGATAGGCTGGGAGAAGGAATTTTTAATGGAAGATTTTCAGTACAAACATCTTCTAGGACATATTAGTTTTTTAGACATGCACATATCTAATAGCAAGTTTGAAGCAATAAAGCACCAGAAAGACGAGAAGACTTTGACAAGGAATAAGTACAAGTCACGCCCTAGACTTTGATTTCCTAATTCTCTACAGCCACTTCGAAACAGAGAGTCAACCACCCTCAGAAATACAGAAAATCAGTGATCTTGGGGATTTTATAACCTAATGTTTACTCTGTCCAGACTTTTGCTTCTGATGAAAAGTCACCAAGGGAAACTCTTTATTCCTTCATTTTAAGCATCATCATGGAAAGCTGACAGAAAATAATGGTCAATGTTTTAATAGGCACCACTGCTTATGTACCTTTTAATAATAGAAAAAGATACAACTATGTACTTTGAATTCACAAATATCTAAATATTTACTCAATTGGGGCATTAATTTTAAGTCTAATAAAATTTTAAAGGAGCAGAAATCGATATATAGGGAAATTTTAAGAAGGCAAGACTAATAAAAGTATTGGTAAGTATTAATCACCATATACACATCATCTCTGTTGAACTGTGGCAGATGCTCCTAGGGCACAGGTGGCAAACACAAGGCCCGCGGGCCGATTCCAGCCCTCCACCTTGTTTTATCCAGCCTGGCACCTTGTTCCTACCCAGTGACAGCGCCGACTCTCGCTTAACTGTTAGGGAGTGGCTACATTTACACAGTCCTAAAGTTACATTCGGCCCTTTGAAGGCAACAGCGAGGCTGATGTGGCCCCCGGTGAAAATGAGTTTGACACCGCTGTCTGAGGTGACAAGAGCCGAGACAGTGAAAAGGAGGTTTATATTTATGATCTGTGAGGAACAAAACATCCCGAATGCTCAGCCCTTTATTAGAACCAGGAGCAGATCCACCTTACAGCATGTACTGACCACCATTCCTCCCCGCAGAGACCGGGTGGCTTTCTCAGCGGCCTCTGACGATTCTGCCTTGCACCCTCTCACTCCTGTGTATTTTCTGGTGCCTTTGCCCTCATCAGGAATGATTTCTCCGTTTCTCCTAGAACTTCCAAACACTTTAGATCCAGTTTAAAATGCTGCACCTCAAGGCCTTCCAAAAATCACTCCTAACTCTAAACTCTTAATATGTGTGAAGTGTTCCACTCATTTGGTTAATTAGGTTTGCACTGCCTGTGGATAGTTCTTAGAATAGATGGTTAACTTTCCTTATTTATTTTATTATTTAACTTTTCACATTTTTAAGCTCCTTGAGGACAGTATATCTTATATTTCTCTTTGTTTACCTACATAGGCAGCACTATTAAATATTTATTGATTTGAATTTATTTAAAACCATTCATTCCGTAGTGTTGGTTTAACAAACTTAAAAGACACAGAGGAAGATGATGGCACTGCATTTCAAAACTGCTTTCTAAACCACTGCTTCTGGAGAGTGCAAGTGATTTTCTTCAAACTGCTCACTGCTTGGAGGCATTTTAGACCTTGCTTTCCCCCAGTTACTGCAATCTGGGATCAAATAAACTCTTGTAAAAACTCCCTAAAAAATATAAATATAAAAACAAACCTTTTCACAATTTTAAATAACACAATTCAAATAACACTGAAGACAACAGACAAATGTAGCTAGTAGCCCTGACCAGTGTGGTTCAGTTGGATGGATGTCCTCTTATGAAGGAAAAGGTCGCCAGTTCAATTCCCGGTCAGGGCACATGCCTGGGTTGCAGGTTCGGTCCCTGGTTGGGGCGTCATATACGAGAGGCAACCAATTGATGTTTCTCTCTCACATTGATGTTTCTCTCCCTCTTTGTCACCCACCATCCCCTCTCTCTAAAAATAAATAAACAAAATCTGTTTTAAAAATAGTTAAAGGTTGCTAAAGAAATGTTATGGAAACATGTTGAGAAGAGTTGATATGAGATATCAAAGGAACAGGAGTGGAGGTCTGGGTTAGAAGATAACAGGAAACAAGGAAAAGCTGTAACCATAAGAAACCAACACGAACAAAACTGGCCATGGAATGGAATGAATTAGTCTTGGCAGAAATCCTCCCCTGCCTAAGCAGTTTCAGTAATGTTTGCAACTTCCCGTACAGTAACGGAATCATGGAGCGAGAAATGGAATGCTCAGGACAGTCAAGGTGGACACAGGCCGTACCAGGCCTCGGTCCATCTGCAGAATGAATACATGGACGCATGCCTGCCTCACGAGAGGCAGGATGTGAGGAAGTGAAGTTGGGTGAAAGTGCATGGTACTCCTTGTACTCCTTCTGTAAATTCTTGAGAATCTGTAATTATTTCAAAATAAAGATGTTTAAAAGTACAGGCTGTGGACCCAGACCACCAGGGTTTGAATAGAGGCACAAGCCATTATTAGCTGTGTGACCTCAATTGAACTGTTTGCCTCTCTGGGCCTCAGTTTCCTCTTCTGTAAAGTGAGGTTAATAACAGCATTCACCTTATAAGGTGTTTAGCAGATTAAAATAAACTAATCCATGTAAACCACTCACAACAGTGCATGTCACATAGTAGGCACTCAATAAATAGTCAGACATTATTAATGTTGTTACGATTTTTTTAAATGTACCCTAAGATCGTGTTCAGCTCTAGAATTCTGTATGTTTTAAGCTATTTGGGAAAATTTTTAGCAGTCACCTATCTTCTCTCCATAAATGTATTAAATGTATTATTATATAGACACACCTACATTTATTCTTTCAAAAATGGACAAATCATAAACAACCCACTGCAGAGGAGTCTCAGTGTACACTGCAGCCGGACTTCTGGTTACACCAGGTCATCTCTGTCCATGAGATGGAGAACTGTGTCTTGTTTTGAAAGTTCTCAAAGACAACAGATTCCACGTGCTCTGCAGCAATGCTCACCAGGGCCTTAAAGATATCAGGAAATTATTCTTGGCCCAGTTCACACTTATCACCTCTTGTTGCCAGTGGACATAGAAGATACATTTTAGAACTTTGTACGTGAAGACCCCTACTAGATCCCTCTGTTTTCCTTCTCTTTAATTCCCTTACACGTACTATCTTCCAATAGTTTAATTATCTTTATTTCTACTTCCCAGAGTTATTATAAGGATTCCATTAATTAGAATACATCAAAGCATCTAATTCTGTACCTGGCTCAGACTAAGTACCTAATGAATTTTTCTTTCTTTCTTAACCAGGAACTAAACTAATTATCTCCATTACAATGTGAGGCAGTTGAGGCATTCTAAATGGAATCTCAGAAAGAATATACAGGCAAGCTAACAAATCCAAAAGTTTTTTATCTTTCATTTGAAATGTTCAATAAAGCAGTATTATGAAACCAAATCCTAATTTTTCTTCCCTGCTCTCCCTACTCAATTTTTATTTAAATCCCAAAGTTTAGCTATTATGGTGTCTTTTAAAGCTTAGATATTTCAAACGAAAGTAGTTGAAGAAATATATACTATAAATAGACATCCTTTGGGAGAACATTTTTTCTAAAATTATTCCTAGCCTTTTCTAAACCTTATTCAGTCACATTGCCACTTAAAATGTTTTTTGCTCTTCTTACAGTTACTGTAAATGTGCTCCTCCCAAAATATGAAATCTTGTCAAAAAAAGGCAGACTTCATGATATCAAACACCTACAGTAATACCACAACACAAGAGATGGTAGCTGTAGGGAAAAGTGATTCAGTAAAGCTGGTGTCTTGTCACTTCAGTTTGCGACTCCTTTGTCTGTTTTCTAGTGATTTTTAAAGGCAGAACAGTCTGCAGGCTTCTCACAATATCGGTGTTTTCAGCTAAATTTTCTCCTCCTATTCTTAAGATTCTTTTCTGAAAGTGACAAAACATGAATGGGATAAATACCAAAGCTTGATTTTTTAGAAAACTACTACTTCAAGGGTAGTTTAGAAAAATCCTGTTTTCACTTTCAGCCTTCCTTGCCTCACAAAGAACTTGGCTTTTTGTCATAACCAAATGCTATGAGAGAATGGTTAAATGAACCCTTTGATTTGCAACACAGTTTATCCTCAACTGCCACCACATTTCTAAGAGTTTTTTTTCTTTAGTTCTGAGAATACAACGAGACCCAGTTAAAGCAGCAGGAATTCCTAACACAAAGTTGCAAAACCTAAATTCTGATAAAGATTGCCTGCAAATGCAACAGAATGAACAATGAGGTTATTATTGTTTCTCTAAGAGAAAAATGCTTTTTAAAAACTATTTAACTACAGTGATTTTTACCTTAAGGAAATACTGTGTTCCGGGTAGAAGACACTTGTGTACTGGACCCACGCACCAAATTCCTCTTCGGCTTCCCTTTTCGTGTCATCTGTTACTGAAAACAGATTGAATGATTCAAATCTTCTTACAGATACATGTCGCAGACAATCATCCAGGTGTTTCTGCTTCAGCACCTTTGAAATAAAACCAAATATTGTGGTCACATTATATAAACATAAGTGTTCAAAGTTTAAGTGGTAAGGGGGCTTTTATTTCCAATAATAGACTATTAGAAAATTCAGAGCAACTTTTTACTGAAGACTAGAAAAGATAAACAAACTATTTTAAAACATTGCTTGATGGTATCGGAGAGCAAAGAAGACAGTGAAGATATACCAGTCTAATACCTTTAAAAGGAGTTAAAGGTACAGAGGTGAGCCTGTCCACTTTTACTGTAGGACATTTGTCAACTCCAAAAGGAAGAGCTGAGCAGAGGGCAACACCTGTGACAGCTTGCAGAGGAAGGAGGTACAGACTGAATTCCAAGCTTACAACATAAGCAGGAGCATCTGAGCCTGTCCCTGTGCATGGGGGTGTATGTGCGTGCTTGTATTGTAAGGTAAATTAGTAACTTTGTTGATATCGTTGAAACTGGGTTTTTAAGTATGGGAGAAAGGAGATACAGCTATAAGATTAATGAGGATAAGTAAAACCCTGTGCCTCTGAATCTGAATAGAGTATAACAGAAACTAGTGATTTCATTTTCTAAAAATATGTTTATTGATTTTAGAGAGAGAGGAAGGAAAAGAGAGAAAGAAACATTGGTGCAAGAGAGAAACATTGACTGGTTGCCTCCCATATGCGCCCTGACCAGGGATCGAACCTGCAGCCTGGGTATGTGCCCTTATTGGGAATCGAGCCTTCAACCAACTGAGCCACACCAACCAGGGCTGATTTCATTTTTTAAAAACCTATACATATCTTTCCTACACCTGACCATTGAAAAAGTCTAGAAACAGTGACCAACTAGAAGCAATAAACACAAGGTTCTGTCTCTAAACACTATTTTCAATTAAAATAGAGTAAGGTCCTTTAGGGAAAATGTTAGATAGGACAAGGGTCTCAAGGTCAGGGTGGTTCTTACTAAATAATGTTCTTGCTTCATGTTAAAATGTAACAGTATTTTTCAGGCTCAGTTGTTAACTTGATGAGCTGGACTACAACCCAAGGATAAGTTTAGCCAAATGCAAAGAAAAAACCAACATGTAATTAACCAGATAGTCCCTGTAAGCAATAGCAAAGCCTCTCTTCACGGACACAGAGCTTGGATGTGAACCCCTTGTCTTCTTTACTTGCTGCAAGAAATAAAACTCCCTAACAAGAACATCTAGTTCTTGAAGAGAGCACCCCAAGGGGCCAACTCATCGTGTCCGGTGTAAGATGGCAGGAACTGTAGGGATATACGATGAGCCTGAAACATCCTACACAAGTAAACAAGAAAGCCACACAAAATTAAGAGGAATATTAATAGTATTCTGGAGCCAATTTGAATAAGGGCCATTCGCCAAAGACGGGCCAGGGTGAGTATTAACAACAGTAACAAATGTAATAGAATTGAAGCACATTAGTTCATAAAGGTATTTTCCCAAATGCCTTGATGATGACCATGGAAGGGTGCTAGAGAACCAACATGTCACTTTGAAAATCAGTACTGGAGAGAATCGAGTACTTCTCTGTCTTTCCTATATGAACTGCCACTGAGAGTCCAAATAGAAGATCAAGGGACGTTTCCAAGTAATAAATGAAGAAGGAATTACAGAATTAGATTATCACCATATTCAACCCTCTCATGAACTCTTGAACCTAGGCAACCTCCATCAGGAAGAGAAATAACCAGACATCCTTGTGATTACTGATGAAAGTACACAGCACCATCACCTTGATCAACCAAACAAACAAACAAACAAAAAAAACATCAGATCTGAATCTGAGTTTCTATATCTTGTAGGAAATACAGGGAGGTAGGAACACATTAAGCATAATCATCAAATGCAATTTAGCAAAATTCAAATTATGGGAAACTACAAGACAAAAATCCCAGTTTCTTCAGTAAATTAAAGACAAGGGTTGAAAAAGAAACATACAGAGGGAGCATTTAGATTAAAAAGTCAACCAATACACATATCAACCAATAACAATGTTGGAACCTTATTTTGATCCAGTTTCAAAATAATCTAATTGTAGAGAAAAATTGAGATAAAGGGGAAATTTTTAAAACCAACCAGATGTCGCCCTAGCTGGCGTAGCTCAGTGGATTGAGTGCGGGCTGCGAACCAAAGTGTCACAGGTTCGACTCCCAGCCAGGGTACATGCCTAGGTTGCAGGCTATAACCCCTAGCAACCACACAATGATGTCTCTCTCTCTCTCTCTCTCTATCTCCCTCCCTTCCCTCTCTAAAAATAAATAAATAAAATCTTAAAAAAAAAACAAAAACAACCAGATGTCCCATGACATTGAGGAGTTATTCTGGGTGTGATATGGCATTGTAATTATGTTTTTAAATGTCATCTTGTATAAATACATACTGAAATATTTACAAAAAAAACTGCCATGATATCTGAAATTTACTTCAAAATAACTAGGGTTGGGAATATAATGAGAAAATAGAGATGAAACAAAGTTGGTCGGAAGTTAAAAATTGTTGAAGTTGATGGATACATGAGTGATTACTAAACTATTCTCTCTAATTTTGTGTATGTTTGATGTTTCCCAAAATAGAAAGTTGTTTAAAGATATAAAACAACCTAACAGTCATAATGAGTAAAACATAGCTAAAAAAACATAAAACTACAAATATATTTAGAAAGTAAGCAATATACTTCTAAATAACCTGCGTACCAAAAAAGGGAAAGAAAGCACAATGGTAATTAGAAAGTATTTTTGAACTGAATGATAATAAAAATACATTTCAAAACATATAAAATGCAGCTAACTCCATGCTTAGAGGGAAATTTATAGAAGGGCTAAAAATCAATAAACTAAGCATCCATTGCAAATTTAGAAGAAGAAGAAAATCAAGTCTCCAAAAGAGCAGAAGTTAATTAAGTAGAAAACAAACACAGCAGGGAGAATTAACAACACCAAAAACTGATTCACTGAAAAGAGTAAAGAAAACTGCTAAATCCTCGATGAGGCTAATATGAACAAAAGAACAAAGGTATAACTAGCAACATAACATAGGAAGATTACTATGCATACTACAGGCATTAAAAAATAGCAAAGGGATATTACAAAAACTAACTTTGAAAATTGGAAAAAATGAACAAATTCCTAGAAAAATACAACTACCAAAGTTGATATAAGATGAAACAGAAAGTGTAAATAGTCTCAAACTATTTTTACAATAGAATACATAAATAAAAATCTTACCACAAAGAAAACTCCAGGTCTAGCTTGCTCACCAGCAAATTACACTAACAGTCTAAGTAAGAATTAATGCAAATCTCACCACATTCTTCTTTAAATCCTTAAGTAACCCTGTGGTATAAAAACTTTGTGACAGAGGAAACTGATGCAAAGGGATTGATTTGTTCATTTGTTCAATCAGAGAGCTCTTAAGAGGTGAATCCAGGATTCAAATCTAGATAGTGTGACTACAGAGCATAAACTCTTAAAGCCTCTGCTTGTGAAGAATATGGAAGACAGACATCAAACACCCATTCCAACAACCTTCTAAGATACCTACCTATATTATAAAGCTATATTATAAATTAAAGACGACATTTCCCAGAATCCATAGCAGACAGATTTGCAAATCTGTGATTCTAGTTTAGCTAGTTAGATGCACTAGCATAAGATTTGAAAAGCTAGTAGTAACTGCATTTCTGCAACTTCTATTAGTAAGAATAGTTATAAAGACACTTTGTTCTTCTACAGCACCTTTAGCAGCGGTCCCGGTGTTCACTCTAATTTAATAGAGAATGAGAGCAGGAGGAGTGCCATACCTCTGCAAACAGAGACTCAGCAGGTAAGGTGCACATCTGAAGTCTTTAGTCCTGGCAGCAGCTGATCACCAGAGCTGCTATATAAGAGGTGTGATTCTGGAAACAGCCTCAGGTTTTTTATTTCGGATGGTTCTGAGTGTTGGTTGTTTTATATTTCACTGTAATTTTGATGTTGTACAAAGAGACAAGCCATGGCTGCCTATGCTGCCATCTTGATTGGAAGTCATAATTTGCTTTTTAGTGTTCAGAACAAATCAACCAAATCCTTTTGTTACAAAAATAAAGCAGGATTTGAAAACAGGAAATGAATGATTTCCAACCCTGGAGAGTAATTCAACTTTAAAACGATCAGAGATGGAAGAGGTTTTAAAGAAATCTAGTCCCACTTTCTTATTTACAAATGAGAAAACTGGGGTCCAAAGAGGTTGCTCATAACCATACAAATAATTAAGGGCAGATCTGGGCCTAAAATCACGTTGTTATTGAATTCTAGTCCAGGAAGCACGCTGTCTGTTTCAGCACTGATGGTCTCAAACACAGAGCACCCTGCTTTCATTTAAATTGTGCTGTGAACCCTCCGGTTCCCTTTCCCATGGTGGTCGTAAAAGGAGGAAAAGTAACACTGCAGCTGGCCTCACAGCTCCGTAGCATGTGGGCTAGTTTCAAACAAGGTTAAAAATAATAATAAAAAGTAAATAAATTGTGCTGTGAACTATTCCATTAATCAGATTCTTCTGCCAAGCATTCAGACTTCTAGGCTAGATGATTTGTTCCGTAGGTATCTGCAAACATGCAATGGTCACCGCTACTTTTCATCTGCTCTACATCCCTTACTCTGAGGAACTGCTCCTCCCTCACTTTGTGTAATAATGGTAGGGTGTTCTCTTCCCTGACCTCCATGGGCTGATGACCCAGGTTAGCCCCATTTTCCTGGGCACAGCAATTGGTCAACATTGGAGTATCAGAGTCATTTGGAGTAAATAATTTGGGTGTTGGAGAAAAGGGTAATTTCTTCTGGGTCACTGACTTGCTGGATGATAAACGTCTGTAATTGCCAACAGCCATCTTTGCCATCAGGTAATGAGACCCAACTAAGAGAAAATTAGAACATCATCCGCAGCCTGTATTATTACTGACCCACAGACTTCCAAACTTCGTCTGATGAAAGTGGGCCCTAGACTCAAAAGTCAGTACATTACCGTGTGGCCTGGTATCCAATAATGTATTAGGTCAACCAGGTTTTCTCTCAAAAATGTTATTATAAAACAGAAGATACTGAACCATTAAAGTGAATGGTCATGAGATAGCACTGGAGCCCTATGGGGCAATGAAACCAGAACCACGAGGGACAAAACAAGCAGAGATAAGCAGATATCATGAAGATGTCCCCTAGGAAAGAGAAAGAAAGCTGCATATCCTAGCACTGTTTAGACTCCTCAGTTCTCCAGTTCGGATGTATACACAGTGGTCCATTCATTTGAAATATATAGGGAACCCTTATGGGTGGGTGGGAGGGGGAACTGGATTGGGAGTAAAAAGGAGAAAACTGTATATGAACAATGATTAATAAAAAGAAAAAAAAAATATATAGGGAACCGTTTCGTGTGGCGTGGGAATCAGGAAAGGCCAGTAGGGAGCGAGTTGGCACACAGGACCGACACCCATGGATAGGTTGTCCCATGAGGAATCAGGCCTGCATTGTATTTAGGCTGCTATGAGACTTGCCTTTGTTAAAACTCCCTCACCCTGAATTGAGGCAGCAAGAACTTACTGTAACTTCCTAAAATCTGAGCTAAACCTCCCAAGTATGAGTGTAACCAGTTCAACCACTTTTCCCCTTGGTCTGTAACATGCTTCTCTTTGAAGTAATGAGCAACATTCTCTCCTTTGTTATCTGTAAAAGGTAATCACCTACAGAGAACCTGTGCATAGTGAGTGAGGATCATCCTCCATGTAATGTAACCAGAAAAGCAATAAAAGCCTGTCCAGGCAGGGGCCAGGGCCCTCTCTCTCTCACTTAGAGAACAGCCCATGCCATCCCTTTTTCTCCACAGGACTTCTGCAGTCTGTCTGAATTTGTCTCTCATGGCCACAACACACGGATCCTGCTGGCCAGGATCCACATTAGAAATATATTTATTAAGAGCCTACAAATGTTTGAAATACAGAGTAGATTATTATTACAGAAAAATAGTCTCTTGTCCCCTTGCCCCATCCAAGGAAGGAGTATATTTCTCTGCCCCTTGACCTCAGTGGTCAGGTTTGCTCCCTTACACCTCTGCCCCCACTGTGAGTACACACCGGTCAACTGGCCCAAGGGATGAGAGCCATGTGGACCAAGAATGTGGCATAGAGCCACTCAGCTGATTAGAGCCTATGCCAGTTAACTCCCAGGTGGCCCACAGATGCACAGACAAAGTAAATGCTTGTTGTGGTATGCCACTGTGATGCTGCCATTGCTTGTTATTCAGCAACAGCTAGCTGATACAATACACTGAGGACTAGGTGCTATGGGCCACTTAAAGACTCCTTACTCTAAGGCTTTCTACAAGAATTGACAATATCTAGCTAAAACCAACTAGCCAGGCCCTGTGCTAGGTGCAGAGGATAAAGATTCATAAAATATCTTTTCCCAAGAAAACTCCCATTCTTGTAAGAAAGATAGACTCTGATCAAATAATCATAAAATAATGTGATGTGAGGTCCACCAAAAGAGTGAGCAGAAGGCCTCATTTAGTCCAGGGTTGTTAGGAGAGGCTTCACAAAAAAGGAGATTGAAATGGAGATCTGAAGCATAAACAGTCATTCACTAAGTAAAGAAGATAAAAACACTTTATGCAGTGGACAGATGGGTACCAGAACATTAAATGTCAAAGCCTTTGAGGAGTTCAAGTGGCAGCCACAGCTGAAAGGTGTCTCGTGAAAACAGCAATTCAGAATGCGCGTAAGTGCTAGTCAACTAGAGTTTTGTTATACTAAGAATCACTGAAGTCACCACAATAAGATTTGATTGTTGAGGTGCTAATTTACTACTTTCATAATTGGACTTTAATCAATGTTTACTTCACCACAGAAAGTTCCTATGATAATGAGTTGAAGACGTTCATTTTATTATTCCACAAAAGCAGTTGTAACATAGCAAAACCAGCTCTGGAACAACTTTCAAAGCATCAGCAAAGAAATGATGTTTGAGTTACGTCGTGACAGCACTGGAAGGCCACCGTATGAAAAGGTGACTCTGCAAACAAAGTGACTGCAAACAAAGTAACCCCCCAAATACCACCCGCACAATCTCAAGTAAAGTGGCAATAGCTGGAAAACTCCTCTTGAAATACATCGGAAATGCAAAGTGTCCTCGAGTAAAATCTTCAGCAGGGAGCCTCAAGCAGAAACACAACACTGGAGTGTAGAACAATAAACAGATTTCATTTCCAGCAATTTGGAAAGAGCTAGTGATGTCAAATCGGAAATCTGTCAAACCTGCACTTGACTGAAGTGATTGATAAGCCAACAGCAGCAACTTTTAAGTTCGAGATGATAACCTCCATTAAACAAACTATTGAACCTTGGGCGGGGAGAATCTTGCCAATCACCGCCAACTTCAAGATACGCGTGTAACTTTCACTTGGTGGGGGAAAGGGGGGCAGGAGGGAGCAGCTCTAGCTACTCCCTTCACTCTCCGCTGTTACTGAAGAAACAGAGCTAACGTGTGCGACGTCAAAGTCCCACCAACAGTCAACCACGCCGATCTCCAAAGCAGGGGCCAGCCTTAGGGCTACAATCAGGCTGGGAGTTAAAAAGCAAGTAGAAGAAACTTGGAGAAGGAAGTACAACAGAAGCAGGAAAGAAAAAACGTTAGGGGTGGGGAGCAGCGGTCCCACCAATCGCCCTCTAGCAAGAATAGTCCCCCCAATTAGATAAATGTCTAGAAAGGGATGTTCTACTTCGTCTGAGTTTCCCAGGAACTCAGCATTAGATGCCCCTTCCCCGCACAACCCCACGTGAATCCTCTCTTTTGGTGGGACGCTTAGGCGAAGCAAGGGGCTCTGGACAGAATTGTGCCGGTGAGTACTAAGTAGCTGCCTGTCGCTCTCTCCGCACAAAAGGGGAGTGGCCAGAGGCAAAGGTGAAACGAAAGGGTTCTCTCTCCCTTACCTGCCGCAAGAGCTTCCATCGGGTGGCTCCTAAGGACGAGGAGCCTGCGCGCCCAGGAGCCGCGCCGCCGCGTGTTCTGTCCTCTCCGGAGGCGCGCTCAGACTCGCTGGCCAGAGCGTCGGAGACTCGAGACTCCATCCCTCTGGAGCCACCTGTACGCTAGCTGCCGCCACCACTACTCTCCCCTGCCAGGACCTGCCTACTTCTTCCCTATCAGGACCTGTGACGCCGACCCTCCCTCCCTACTGCCCAGGCCCTCCCGAAATCCGCATTTCCGGTTTTCTGGTCTCCTTGACAACCAGGCCCGCGCGGCTCGCGTCATTGCACCATTTTGCAGGTGGCCACCTTGAGTGAGGGCAGACCAGAGATGGAGGGATCCTTCGAAGAGGTAGTAAGGCGCTGTTTCTCTTTGTTTTCTTTCCCCTACCTCATGTAAATCTAGGAATACTATCAAAGAACCAAAAGGATTATATTTTTGCGGGTTTAAGAACCCAGGAGAAAAGAAAAATCCGTTCTTGACCACAGTAAAGATGGCGAAATCCGCTTAGTGCTCGTGCTGGATTGGGGTTACGTAGATCGGCGTGCTGCAAACCAGCTCTGGGTAGGTTGAGATTCTGCAAGCTGCAGAACGCAGACCTCGGCTGGACGCGACGGAGGTTGCACCTCACTTACTCCTCTGAGCTTCTTCGCCGGCCTGCCTTCACTCTTTCGGTGTCCAGAGCCAGACTGACTTTGAATTTGCGTACGTATGGGTGGCGTATGCTGGGGGTCTCTACCCTTTTTCCCTTCTCCCCCCCATCCCCAGCCACCCCTTAGTCCCTTGTTCCTCGCTTTTTGACCAATGTCCCTTCATTGCGCAGCACATGGCATTCCCCTGCTTGTCGCACTCAAGTCGCCTCATCCCTGGTGGAGAGTTTCACCGGGAAAACGAATAGTTTCTCCCGGGAACACCCATTCATCGACCCACCCCCATCCTTAGCCTTGCATAGTGTCTTCTCCCTGCAAATGATGGATGGATGAATTGAGGCTGCCCACATGGATATAGTGATTTAGGTTATTTGTTTCTATTTTGCTGGTGTCGGCTACTGATCCCCTATTCTCACTCGCCCATTATTTTGCTGCGACACAGATATTAATGGAGGCGGGGGCGTTGGCGTGGTAGCGGATCAGAGCCGTGGTAAAACTGACGCAGTATTGTGCCTTTGATACCGAGGAGCGTTTTGTAGAATACTTCCATGATGACATTCGACGCTGCAACATGTCTAGATTTTTTTCTATCCTAATAATAGTAGTCACCATTTATTGAGTGGTTACTCTGTGCCAGGCACTTTTATTAAGATCTTAACCTAAATTGTCTTGTTTTGTACTTAGAACAACTCCATAAGATAAATAGTGCCCTTATCTCAGTTTTGCAGATGAAGAAACTGAGGCACAGGAAGAAAGTGCACCCAGGTCTCTGTGACTCTTAACTACTTACTAGTTTTAATTACTTCGATAGGTTAGTAAGAGGTAGTAAAAACCAACAGAAACCAGAGATGGTCTCACATTTTATTTGTGCATCCTGAAGTAATTTTGTTTGTTTAGTTAAATGCCTTTTTAATGTTGAAATCCAATCGCTGGGGTCCAAGATTTGGAGCCAAACCGTTTTGGACTTCTTGCTGTACTACTTACCGTCCAGGTCACATGGGGCAGTTGCTCAAACTTCCCAGAGCCACAGTTTGCTCACCTGTAGAATGAACATCATAATAGCTACTCAATCAGGTCCTTATGGAGTTTAAATTTAGACAAAGTATGTAAAAGCATCTGGCACATTGCAAACACTCAATATATATTAATCTCCCCTCCTCCACTTTTATTAAGTAGTTAGGCTTCCAGTTTGTCCTCCATGTACACACTTAACCAACCTCTGTTCTCAATTATGTAAGATCAAAGCCATTTTGCCTTTTAAAACCCTCAGAGTCCCTGAGATGCCCCCCATTAAGTCTGTGTACTTATTTGCAAATTTTTATTTTGTTTTTTTTTGTTTTCTGTCTTGTTTTTTTTGTTTTGTTTTTTAGTTGTCCCTATGTGTGCCAGAGTCAGTGCTGCATAATGTGACTTGATAGGACTGACTTTCCAAATGAAACAGTTTAGACGCATCTGCCAAGAAGTAAGATTTGAATGAAACTCTCACTTACACAAGTTTTCAGATATTTTAATCTGAGTTCCCAGTTATTCATTACCTGAGGGGTGCATGGCCCGGAAGGGGAGGGATAAGAACTTCGGATCTTAGATGCTCTGAGAACCCACTACCGTATAATCATACCTATGAAATCACTCATGCTGGCAGCCCCAAAGGGAGCATAAACCAGGGACTGTGCTATCATGCAGCAGAAGAGCAGATTATTTCTCCGAGTGTTGAAGTATAGTATTCCTCACCTTGGGAAATGCATGCAGAAACAGCATTTCAATCGCTGTACCTTCGCTGATCATTATTACAGTAGAATAAAATTGAAAAAATATCACCCAACCAAGTGTCTGCAGAATACACGCAAGATATCAGAGTTAGCAAGAAACATCCCAAGTCGGAGCTTCTCAAGTAAGGTATGAACTGTTTAAGTTTACCTGTCTGTAGGTCATTAAGACTAATTTCAGTTTAAAAATAATTCTAGTTTGATTTTTTTAAATGTTCAGGCTCAATTGTCTATAGTCAAAATAAGTATAAAAGAATATATACATATATTTATAGAGTTCTAAGGTAACATATAAAGATATTTTTAATATTTATGCAATAATTCATCGTAGAAATTCCGTACTGTACCTACCAGCACAATTCTGAGTATTCAGGTTTCTAAAATTCCTTGAATATCATAACAGCTCTTAATAAAGTCTAATATTATAGTCATTGTTTTCTGAATACCAAATTAATAAACTTCAGTAAAGGCCATGTACTTGTGTGTTACTGCTGTGTAAAATGACAAAAGGACTTCCATGTGTGACCACCTGAGTCATTTAGGAAGATGCTTTCAGACTGCTGTACTCTGGCCAGATCCCAGGCTGCAGTCATTGGTGACCCCAGCCTTGAGAACCCAATTGCCCTTATATGTAGAGTAACCACATTCTGATTGGCCTGAGACGGTCCCAGTCCACACTGGTTGTCCCTGTGTAATTACAAATAGTGCCCCCTTTCCTCTCAAAAGTGCCTTGGTTAGGATGGTAAATTACATGCATCCTACTTGTTTCAGATTAAGCTGTTTGTTTATGCTGCTGCCTCTTTGGCCTACCTCTTTCACCCCAGATTTGTTATGGCCCTGAGGTTCCTTACATTACATTTGGGGGTGATATTCTTGTAATATTTAGCATATTATTTTTATCTCCGGTTTTAATTGTTTTGTTGCATACTGGTTTTTCTTACTCTGTTTTGACTTCCTCATTTTTTTATTGTGGTAAAATATGTATAACATAAAATTTGCCATTTAAACCATTTTAAGTGTCATTTAATGGCATTAATTACATTCACAATGTTGTATATCCATCATCACTATCTATTTCCAAAACCCTATCACCACCCGAAACATATACCCATTAAGTGATGTCCTACCATTTTTGAGCCCCTGAAAATCTGTAATGTACTTGATCTTTATGAAATTGCCTATTCTAGATAATTCACATAAGGGGAATCATAATATTACCCTTCTGTGTTTGGCTTATTTCACTTAACACAATCTTCTCAAGGTTCATCCATTTTGAAGCATATATCAGAACTTCATTCATTTTTATGGCTGAGTAATATTTCATCGTGTGTATATATCCCATTTTGATTAGCCATTCATCTATTGATGGACACTTGAATGGATTCTTCCAGTTTTTAAAAATGATTTTTTAATATTATTTTACATGATTTATCTTGTTTTTTATTTAATTTATGTTCTCTTAACTCATACTTATTTGTTGTAAGTTTTGTGATGGTGTTTTTTGTTTGTTTTTTGGTTTTAACTTTTTATCTGTTAATCCGTCAACTTTTTACTCCTTACCTTTTAGTCTTTCCATTTTTTTTTCTTTTCATAGTGTCTGAGTTTAGCACTTTGATTCTTTCTTTACTCATGCAGAAATTCTTTATGCCTTTTATTTCAGTCTTTTGTGTGTGCACACACATGAACAACTTTATCCTACTTTTAAAAAACAAACTTTAAGCCCCTGGCTGGCGTAACTCAGTGGATTGAGCGCGGGCTGCGAACCAAAGCATCGCAGGTTCGATTCCCAGTCAGGGCACATACCGAGGTTACAGGCCAGGTCCCCAGTGGGGGCCACATGAGAGGCAACCACACATTGATGTTTCTCTCTCTCTCTTTCTCCCTTCCTTCCCATCTCTAAAAAAATAAATAAGTAAAATATTAAAAGAAAAAAACTTTAAAATTTTGCCTATTGGACACATTTTAGACCTTTAGATCATTTTATCTTGCATGTGTTTCAAACATTTTACTATCTTGTGCTTTTATCTTAGGTCTTAGTTTATTAATAGTAGACAGGGGTTAACCATCAGAGTGACAGCTGTGAGATTAGCTCACACCCTAGGCAGGAAGCAGACTATTTTTTTCCCTCTGCTTGTCCCTGAAGGAACTTTTTAATTCTCTTCCATAGATACCTATCACCTAGAAACTATCCTGAGCCATTAACTTCAAGAAAGTGGCTCTTTTAGGAATTCTTTTGCCTAATAAAATGGTCCTGTTTTCACATGTCGTTTGTCAACCATTCCTTCTATGAGAAGAGATAAGGTCTAAAAGCTGTGGTCTCTGTCCTTCACCGTCACTGGGACCTGGGGAAACTGAAGAGACCCGTAGGCAAGAATGCACATTTCCTTTCAGCAAACATTTACTCAGTTCCAACTTTGTCCACTTTTATGGGTACAGTAAAGGAGAAAAGTAATTCGTTTCTGTAGAAAAATTAAAACACATTTGCATAAAGTACAGACTTATTTTTATAAGGTAACTAAAGAACGATACATATAATAGCAATGCCAAAAAGCAAAGGATCTGGCTATGACTCGTGTGTCTGGGAACAAGTCAGGCCTCTAATCTGCCTGAGGGGGTTGCGGGAGGGTGGGGAGGAGGTTCAACTTGGTGTTCTCTAAAATAGGGGTCCCCAACCCTTGGGCCACTGGTGTGTTAGGAACCAGGCCACACAGCAGGAGGTGAGCTTGAATGTCATGCACTTGAATCATCCTGAGACCATTCCCCACCACTCTGGGTCCATGGAAAAATTGTCTTCCACGAAACCAGTCTCTGGAGCCAAAAAGGTTGGGGACCACTGCTATAAAAGTCCTCCAAGTACAAATTTCTTTCTGTACATATACCTTATTAGAAACAAATTAGCACCTATATGTTTGGACTCTTTAGGACCAACTTTACATTCTGGCTGTCCATCAGAGGTCTCAAGGAGCTTTGTATAAATGCAGATTCCTGGATCTCACCCCACATCTTCAGGGTGAGAATCTCCATGGCTGAAGCCTAGGGGGTCTGTTTTATGTTGTTGCTGGACTTGAGGGTTTGTTTTTCTTTTAAGTTCCTTGGGTAATTTTGAAATTCCCAGCCTGCCACTGACAGTGGACCTGCATTTAGGAACTAGAGACTCATGATGGTGAGTGATCAAGTTTTGCTGACCTAAACCTAATTGAATTCATTCATTCTGAAGTTCTTATTGGCGAGTACCTTAGCTGTCCATTTTACATTATCCAGATGGCAAGATGAACCTGTTCCATTACTCATGCACCAGCTAGTGATATTCAAAGACTAGCATCAGACTAGATAACCACATTTATCTGCCACATCATCCGGCTCTGCTCTGATTACAAAAATATTTTTTAAAATCTTCAGTCATGATAGTTTGAATGAGATACAATAAAACCAAATAAGGGAAGAAAAGAGGAAGGACTAAGTACTTAGGAAACACCAGCCCGTTGGCTGTTTCTACAATATAGATCAGCAGTTCTGTAGTAGTCTCTCTAAGGTTGGAAAAGAGACATCTCCTTCACTGGCACTGCTGATCGGTGATTTGTAGGAATCACTGATTCTAACTAACAAGTTGAAAATGTTGCCAGGAAAGGAGAAAGGGAAATTTTTTAAAGAAAAGTTAGGAAAGCCAGAAAGGAAAAATTGTGTAGTCTTGCAATAAATTTTTTATAATAGTTCACAGAGTGGGACTGCCCCATAGGTACAACTTCATTATTTGTGATTTCTGCACACTCCGTTTGCTCTTTAATCTGCTGGAGTGTGGCTCCCATCCCTCCATGAACACCTCTGTCAGTGTCACCAAAGACATGACGTATTTCAACCCAGGAGACACTTCCCTGTCCTCTTACAGGCTCTCTCAGCAGACGACTCTTGACCATTCCCGCCTTCCCTTTTGGCCTCGGGCCACACCTTTTCCTGGTTTTTCCTACCCTGCAATCCTCATTCTCATCTAACTTTTCTTTCATATGCCCTCTAATTTTGGAGTTTCTCAGGGCTTACTTCTGGCCCCTTTTTCTCTCTTCCTAAGTAATTTTATCTTTTCCAGTGGATTTAAGTACCAGAGCATTTGTCTTCACCCCTAACTCCCCTTTGAGCTGCACATCATGGACATCTCCCTGACTTGTCAAACAAACCACCCACAGTTGAACTTCATTTTTCCACCCTCAGCTCAGCTCTTCTTTATCTCATTGCTCTATACCACAGGTAGCAAACACAAGGCCCATGGGCTGAATCCGGCCCTCCACCTTGTTTTGTCTGGCCCGGCACCTTGTTTCTATCCAGCAGCAGCCCCAAGCTCTCACTTAACTGTTAAGGAGTGGTTTACATTAACACAGTCCTAAAGTTACATTGGGCCCTTTGAAGGCAACTGCGAGGCTGATGTGGCCCCCGGTGAAAATGAGTTTGGTACCTTTGCTCTATACACAATTGTTCAAACTGGAACACAGGGAAACGTCATCTGTTCCTCCTGTTCCTTGACCTTGCCATCATATTCATTAACGGTGCATCCTAAACAGCTTTATGATTTTTTTTTATCACATCCGTACTACCTAGGCTATTATTTACTTAACTGTTTGAGTTTACTCAATTTGTCTTATCCCAAGGAATGATATTCAGTATATCATCAGTCTGATGTATTAGTTGTATTCTTTCTAACAGTGTTCATATCCAAATTGTGTATACCATCATGTCTGACATGCTTTTAGAAACTGCATTAACCTCCAAAATATATATTGAATCTGTCCATGTTGCTCCATCTCTACCATCATCACATGGTCATCTTTCACCTGGACCTCTGGTAAAGTCACCTAACCGGGTTTTGTGATTGGTCTCTTCTTCCTCTTATTCTTTTGCCTGTGGATGTCCGGTTATCCCAGCACTGTCTACTGAAAAGACCTTTTCCCATTGAACTGTTTTAGCACCGGTGTTGAAAATCTGTTAAACATAAATGTAAGGGTTTATTTCTGGACTTGCAGTTCTGTCCTGTTGGTCGGTCTGTCTGTCCGTCCTTAGGCCAGTGTTCTCTATATTACTGTAGCTTTGTAGATATGTGAATCAGAAATAGACCTCAGGTAACCTGATTCGTGTTACCTTTCTTTTTTAACACCTTATTTTATACATTATTACAAATAAATACAAAGCCAGAAAGAATTTCCCTAACAAATACTCAAAGACTACTTTGTACTTCACGTTTCCTACTTGACCTCCCCAGTGCAGATCGGTGTCCTCAATCTCTTTCCTGGTGTGTTTTTATGTGAATTGCACATGTGTTTGTATCCACAGATGATACATAGTATTGTTTTGCATGTTTTGAAAACTTTATATAAATAAAATACAATTGTATAACTTGGTTGTTTGCTCAATATTGGGATTTGGGATTCCACACTAAAACAGGTACATCTGGTTCAATTATCACAACTGCTGTGTGGCAGTATGATATGCCACAATTAAACTGGTACCACCAGAGCAATACCAGTGCAAATGTAAGAAGTAGTCAGATTCTGGATATACCCTGAATCTAGAATTGGCAGGATTTGCAGGTCTTGTGGTTGTGACAAGAGAGAAGAAATGCAAAGAAGACTTCAAGGCTTTTAAGCCTAAGTAGCTAGAAGGACAGGTATCATTTATGAAGACAGGAACGACTGCCCAAAGAACAGATGTTCTGTGGAGAGAAGGGTACGTGGGGAGTTTGGAAATTCAGTTTTGGACATTTTTTGACATACCTATTAGACATCCGAGCACTTGTATATTGAGTATACAAGTCAGTGGGTATACAAGTTCATTTTATTCAGAGGAAAGGCATGGGCTAGAGATAGAAATGTGGGAGTCTGCAGCATATAAATAGCATTTAAGGTCATGGGGCTAGATGAGATCACCAAGGGAATTTGTGCAGACTAGATTTTTTTAAAAAAATGGTCCAGGGCATGCAAATGTTAAGAACCCAAAGAGATGAGTAGGAACCAGGTACAGAAAGGCCAGCGAAATAGGAGCAAAACAACGAGAGGAAGGTGTCCTGGAAGCCAAGTGAGGAAGAGGGCCAAGAGGAGGAGGCGATCAGCTGTGCCATGACGCTGACAGCTCCAGTGGTGTAAATACCTAGAATTAACCTTGTACTTGGCATTACAGTGCTCACCAGGGACTTGGACAAGAGCAGTCAGTAGGCTGAGAAGGGCAGCAGTCGTGGGACTCCAGAGAAGGGGGGAGGAAAGGAATTGGAGGCAGGAAGCAAAGGAAACAGTTACTTGCTTTTATTTTGCAATCACTTTTGAGTAATAAAATAGTAAATATAACTAGATATTTTAAATGAATGTAATGAAGATTCTTGAAAAGTTTCACAGATACTAAATAAGGAGTGTACTAATACGAATACACTGGGTGTGTTAATTGCAGGTTTACTGTGCACCTGGGTCAAACCATACAGAGACCATTTATCAAGTCGTGGAAGTTCCTCTCACTATTCCTAATTGAAGGAGTGTGTTATTTTCTTCCCCCTGCATCAATTGGAATGGCCCTAAGATTGATCTCTTTATTTGTGTCAGATTAGGTTGATACATTTCTCTGATGAATCATCCTTTCACTCTTCAGATAAATCCTGCTTGGTCACATAGGGTTTTATTATTACAATTACTGTTTTTGTTTTGTGCTTTTTTTTAAAGATTTTATTTATTTATTTTTAGAGAGGGAAGGGAGGGAGAAAGAGAGAGAGAAACATCAATGTGCAGTTGCTGGGGGTCATGGCCTGCAACCCAGGCATGTGCCCTGGTGTTTGGTGCTTTTAAAAAATACATTGATTTATCATTTTATTTTAGGTTTTTAAAATCTATAAGATTGATATTTAATTGTTGTACATTGCCATTGTCTAGTTTTCTTACCAGGTTATATTTGCTTGATAAAATTTAGTGGAGTAGTTTTAAGTAGTAAGCATTTTTTTCTTTAATAGTTAACATATGAAAAGATTATCTGTTCCTTGAAGATTCAAGAAAGCTATCTTTGAAAGTATCCGGGTTTGCTGTCCCTTAAGAAGGGGACATTTAATTGCCAATACAATTTCTTTGATAGTTACTGGCTTATACAGCTCTTCAGTTTTTTGAGTCAGTTTTGGTAACTCGTTTATTTTCTGAAAAAATTCATTTTATCTGTTCTCAAATGTATTGGCATAAAGAACTTTGTGATTTTCTAAAAATCTCTATTCTGTCCCTAATTATGCCATCTTTTTCATCCCTAATGTCCTTTATATCTTTTTTAAATCAGCTTTGCTATACATGTCTTTTTTCAGTACATTTTTCAAAGAACCAACTTTATATTCTGTTGATCCTCTCTTTCATCAATTTCATTGAAACAAATTAATTTTCTTTCCTTTCTTATATTCCCTTTAGGTTTATCCTCCTCTTCTGTCTTCTTAAGTTGAAATGCTTTATATCAGGAGACACGTCATGTCAGATGGTCCCACTATTCATGATGCTCTGCTTGATCATTTCGGTTAGGGAGACATCTACTGCCTGTTCTCTCCATTGTTAAAGGGGCATTATCACCTTCGCAAATGCTAAGTAATCAGTAGGGTAATACTTTGGTACTGTGCAAATATTGTATTACCCAACATAATTTCACCTAATGAGTTTAACAACCCCTAATGATCTTTAACCTAATAAATTATTTTCACTGGGGCTTGCTAATGATTTTTCTGATTCTATTACTCTTTCTACCTTTACTAGCTAGTATTATTCCACAAAGAAGAGTTTCCTTTTTTGTTATACCTTCTTGTTTTTTTTATTTTAGTTTAGTGGGGAGGTTTTTGCTTGTTTTCAAATTATTGTGAATTTTTTTCAGTGTGTTGTAATTATTTAGTCACTATTGTTTTTGATGCTCAAGTTGTCCCTAATGTGGCCAGTAGGAACCCCTTCACACTGGCCCTTGTGTCCTTTTGACAAGTCTCTGTTAATCTTCGAGCATTTTCTTGCTCTCTGGCAGAAGATGTCCTAAGCCTACTTGTTCTCTCTGTGCCTCAGACTTGGAATTAGCCATTTACTCCTGGCACCGTCTTGACTAAAAGCAGTCTAGTATCTTTTACAGTGCCATTTTTCTGTCTTGAGAGTTAAACATTTTTACCATAAAGAATTTATATATTTCATTCTCATGTGTAAGTTTTCCTTCCTAAAATGTTTTTGCAGTGGGAAGGGAGTGCTGCCTTTTTCCTCTAATGGAGCGGTCCTGCACATGCAGCCTTCCTAAAACTGAGAGCGAAGCTCTCCTCGCCTTAGCTCCCTTGGGGAGCCTATTAATCACATGACTGAAGTGCAGACAGTGATTTAGAATATCATAACAACCACTGTTGCTCATCTGAATCTAATCCAAATCATAAAGCATCTCAGAAATTCTAGAGGAAAAACTCTGAAAATGACTGTCTTTCCATTTAATTTGATGATTTTTCCATTTTAGTTGTATGTTTAATTTTAGATTGTAAATGCTTTGCGATATAAGCTACATTTATAGCCTGCGTTCTCTGCAGCGTGGATGAAGTACCATGGACACACTCGTGCAGTAAATATTTACCAGCTGTTGGAGGTCCCTACCAAAGGCTTAGTGCCCCTCTGGCACAGATCACAGCGCAGTTGTCATCTTTGGCAGAAAGTTGACATTGGAAATCTTGGCTACAGTTCTTTTGCATAAACAAGGCAAACCTGTGGAGAGTTGAATTATGGAACTCTTTTTTTATCTGACAACTGGTGTTTTACCTTATATAAATTTTAATAATTTATATAGTTTTTATGTGCTAACTAGAGGTCAACTAAAGTTCTCAGCTTATTAGACACTCCCAATAAGATAGAGTGCTTGTTTAGTTTTCATCTGTATCTCTGTTCTGTTCACTAATTTCCCATGATTTTTTCTTGTCCTTTCTTTTATAAGGCAAATATATTATTTTTTTCCCTTGAACTCAAAGAGAAGCTCTGTTTTTTATAGCATTAATTCACCTTTTAATCAGATAAACAGTTCTATTTGGGGGACTCCTTAGCCCCACGAGAGAAGAAAATTGTAGCTAATGAAGATATAAAGAACAAATTTCTTACCATAACTCTTGCTGTGAATAAAGAGTGAACACTTATTAATAAAAATCATGTCTTCCTCTCCCCTTAACATTTCCCTCTTGTTAGTAATTATTTTAGTACTTTATAAAGCTCAGGAGACTTTTTTTGTGTGCCTATCATGCCTGATAATTAAATATGTAAACATTGATAGGATTTCCTTTACTGCTTAATGTTCTTTTTTTTTTTTCCAAAAAAAAAAAGAATTTATTTAATTTTAGACAGAGGGGAAGGAAGGAAGAAAGGGAGAGAAACGTCAGTGTGTGGTTGCCTCTTGCACACCCCCTACTGGGGACCTGGCCCACAACCCAGGCATGTGCCCTGACTGGGAATCAGACCAGCGATGGTTTGGTTCACAGGCCAGCACTGAGTCCACTGAGCTGCACCAGCCAGGGCTACTGCTTAATTTTCTGTAGTATTTCTGAACATTCTCCAGTGCTTTGTGATAATTCTGCATCTTAAGGATTTATCCATTTAAATTCATGGTGTAGCTGTCAAGTATCCACCTCATTTTCTTTGTTGACATTTTTAAATGAAAGAGAGATTACTTACTGAACTTGAAAATCAACATTTAAGACCTGTGAAAGGCATACTATTTGATACATATAAACCTAACATTGTACTACTTGCATGAAAAGGAAATGAGAATTATCTTTTAAAAGCAAAGGTTTTTTCCCTTCAAGTTTGAAATATTATGATCATACCAGTAAAACTTTTTCCAGGATTTTCCGCCAATTAAACAAGAAAACGAAACATCCCTTTCAGAAAACATGGATGCATTTGAAAAAGTGAGAACAAAATTAGAAACACAGCCACAAGAAGAATACGAAATCATCAATGCAGAGGTAGGATATTTATGACTTTTTTAAAAAGCTGATATTACCAGGTCAATAGAAACAATTCAACATCAAAATTAGACTGCATTTGACCTTTAGAATGTGCTTAAAACTTAAAGAACAACGAATAAACAGTGGAATCTTTAAAATAAATTATAAAGATCAAAACCAGGATGAATTTCCAATTGTATTTTGTTAATTCTATGTTTTGGAAAAAACCAACTCTGTTTTAGATGTTTAAAAATAATTCCAAGAATAAGTTCAAATGGAACTAAGTCATATTCCTTTATTATTTGAAAAGTATTTGCTTGCTATATCTACACTACACTTTAAGTAGTATATATCATAAAAGCCAAATATTTGATAATTTTATGGTTAACAGTAAATATTCAATTGAAACAGATTAAACATACATGTTAAAAATTTTTCAGTAAGATTGGAAAACAGAACCGCAACTTACAAACAAAAATTGCATACATAGTAGAATGGAAATAGCAGTAGGTGAAGAAACACAAATTCCAAATTATGTCACTATTGGGTAGGTAATAGATGTGTCTTAAGCTACCCCAAATCATATCATCAATCAATTGCATTTAATATATAGGTATTAGGAGCACGACTCATTGTCTTAATTTTAAATTGTATATACCTGTCACCCCACAGAAGACACGATGATGCTCTGTATAAAATTAAGTCAAGACCATGAGCAGTTGGTGGTGACAGCGCATGTTAGAGGAAAGAATCTCAGGAAGTTACTGACTGAGATTCCAGCCCAGTCTGAGCCACAGTTTCCTCATCTGCATCATTTTGGATTACCTTAATTGAATCTCTGTTCATTGAATCCCACTATAGGGATACCAGAAATTCTTAAAATACAGCCAAAGTGCTATATCCTACAGTCATGGGAACCAACATAGGTTTCATTATGTTTTTCTCTTTGTTGCCTCTTATATTTATGTATAAGAAACTTGTTCAGTGATTGTTAACATATGAAAACAATTTCTTAACCACTATGTTTTAAAAACTGATCCATTTTATATTTTTTATGTGTTCACTCATAAACTTCAATGAGTCTTCTTTGATGAAAGGTCTCATTTCCTCATCTTGACTAGTCAGACCATTAAACAGTTAATTAAATTAAATCATGCTTAAATTATGAAGCTATTTGTTATTATTAAATAAACCATTCATTCTTTTCATTGTCAGGTTAAACATGGGGGTTTTGTTTACTATCAAGAAGGTTGCTGCTTGGTTCGTTCAAAAGATGAAGAAGGTATACCACAGTTTTTCCTTTTAACATCCTCTGATTTTTCAGATTTCACATTTTTCTTAGGAAATTTTATATTAAATTCTCAACAATATAGAAGATATTTTTTTAGATTACTTCTGAATTTTTTAAAAAGGGCTAGTTTTTAATATCTGGGTTCATGTGAAATATAGTTAACAGCTACACTCAAAAGCTTTGACAAGAAGAATGGAGGTACAAACCTTTTTTTTTTTTTTTTATTCTCACTCAAGGACATTTTTCCATTGATTTTGAGAAACAGAGAAACATTGCTTGGTTGCCTGTTGTATATGGGCCGACCAGGGATTGAACCCTCAGCCTAGACACGTGCCCTGACTGGGGTTAGAACCTGTACCCGTTCAGTTCACAGGATGATGCTCCAACCAGCTGAGCCACACTGGCCAGGGCACCAGCATTTTTTTTTTGAGCATCTGCTATATCCCAGGTCCTGTGCTAGATACTATTTTATTATTCAGTGTCATTTACATCATCTTTTTAGGTTCTATATGGTCTATAAATACTAGACTATAACAGTACCAACTTATCACAAAAGTTGATGCATAGTATAGTATTAACATTAAATAACAAATGCCAGTTTCTATGCAAATCAAGCTGCCATTAATGCTGAAGGAAGCCAGAATATAGCATTTTATAGAAGAGGAATGCTAATTTAAAACATTGAAATACAGTTTAAAATATTTTTAAATACATCTTTGGACATTAATCTCTTTCATCCTTTATGCAGCAGACAATGATAACTATGAAGTTTTGTTCAATTTGGAGGAACTTAAATTAGACCAGCCCTTCATTGACTGTATCAGAGTTGCCCCTGATGAAAAATATGTAGCCGCCAAAATAAGAACGGAAGATTCTGAAGCATCTACCTGTATAGTAGTGAAGCTCAGTGATCAGCCTGTAATGGAAGCTTCGTTCCCAAATGTGTCCAGTTTTGGTAAGTCACCAGCACAGTCTACTATGTTGACAAACCAACAGTAAGAAAATTGTTCACAGTTTTGAAATATCTGCATTGTCCATGTGAATGAGAATGTGAGTGTCTGATTACTTTACACCCTGGAACTCCACACCTTGCTCTGTGCCTCTTATTCGGGAGGCCTTCCCTTCTTTACTTATATATCCAGTAGCAGACTGGGGAGACATAGGTTTCAACTAACTGATTCATCAATAGGAGTTGTGATATTTTCACTAGTAGGACAAACTTCAAATTCTATCAGTGATCATTGAATAATACATATGTTCACACTTTATCCTCCCTTGTCATTTTCCTACATAAATTTCCCCATTGTTCAATAACTAAATGCCCTTGCTATGAATTAAAATTATACCCTATCCAGTTGATCCTCAGACATAAATTGTGTACATTTAAACCTCTCAAAATCAGGATGCGTGCTGTGCAGTGATGTCTTACAGTCACTGTCAGCCAGGTGGCAGTCATGATGTGATTGTGAAGCCCACTGACAGCTTCTGCTAACGCCAAGCAAACGCCAGCACTGAAGGATACTTGGTAGTTGGAGATGTCCTGTAGCTTGAAGGCAGACAGAAAACTTTTAGGCATAAGAGAAAATGATCTAATGTTTCTAACAGCACTTACAGGCAGAGATTGTAGGTTTAAATATAATTCATCTTCTGAAAAACAAATAGGACTTTACCAAAGTCTTTCCTAAATATTGAACATTCACCTCGTATTTAGAAACTTCAGTTACCCTGAGACTGATAACTACTTGAAAACTTGGAATTGATGCAGTGAAGTATTTTACTCACTGGAATGCTCTCTGGCTTACATAGAACACAGGTTATATACAGTCAAGACTATTTTAGATTTAGATTTCTAGGGCTGAACTTACAACATCTCTTCTTGGGGACTCAAAATTAGAATGCACTGTGCATTTTTGCTTTTACCTGTAAGTAGGTGGCTATGTATAATTCTTTAATTCCTTGTTTCCCAGAATGGGTAAAGGATGAAGAGGAAGAAGATGTCTTATTCTACACTTTCCAGAGAAACCTTCGCTGCCACGATGTGTATCGAGCCACTTTCGGTGACAACAAACGTAATGAACGCTTTTACACGGAGAAAGACCCAAGGTACTAGAGCAATGCAATTAAATTTCTTCTCTGAAGTATTTCTCCAGTTATCTAGAGCATCATTCTTGGTTGATTTAAAATGTTGGTTTGGGCTGGAACCAGATATAAGAAGACTAAGATCAGTATAAGCATTCTTTTTTATAAGTTGTTCAGCTTTAAAACTGGAAGATAATTACATTTAAACTCCATACTAAACACAAATAGATCATTAGACTGAAAATGAAGAGTTTCTGACATTCTCCCTGGACTGTGACCCATAAGACGAGTTGTTGGTTAAACATTTAATAGGGTTGTCACATAGCACTTTTAAATCTCTTTTAGTCATAAGTAGATAGCATGGTGTCATTTGCATGAATTTCACTACTCATTCCATATAGGTTACCTGAATTCGAAATTGCTTTGCTTTGAGCCATGATGGCCATTGGTGTTTAAATTTTACTCTCCCCAGTATTTTGGTAATTCTTCCTTAAAGGTAATTCTCTTTATTTCCTTGTAATCTCCAGGACTCATGCCATGTATTACTCCTTAAGCTTGGAAGGAGCTGATGGTAAACGTGTCTGGCAAAATCCCTTGACTACTACCCAGATACACTTTCCCAAATGATTTATGAGGAACTTTTTTTTTCTTAACACAGAGGTCCTGTCTCCTCATGTATCACTCAACAGTATAGTTTGGACAACATCTGAACAGATTTTGCAAGAAAAAAAGATGGGATTTAACATTAAATAGATCTGTGGCAGTGAAGTCAATACCCAAAACAAGAAAATTAACCCTTCATCTCATAAAATTTCAGAGCTTGCAAGGGCCTTAAGGAAAATCTTGTATACTCCCCAGTTTATATTAATAATTTGAGATCTTGAGAAATTACTTTGTTCCATCCACCAGGAATGAACATTCCTGGTCCAGTGCTATAGTCATTGCTTTTTTCCTGATGACGACTGTTTCAATGAAAAATTACCAAAACTATTTTTTTAATTTCTTTCAATTGATCTGTTTTTAGAGAGAAAGGAATTGGGGGGAGTGGGGGAGAGAGACAGAGAACATCAATTTGTTGTTCTACTTACTTAGGCAGTCATTGGTTGCTTCTTGTGCATGCCCTGACTGGGGGGTCGAACCCCCAGCCATGGTATATCAGGACAACGCTCTAACCAACTGAGCTACCCGGCCTCAGCCCAAAACTGTTCGTTCATATGACCCATTGTTCTGTGTGTCACTGGTCAAGGGTATCTTTTGAAGATGGTTGTTCAAGCTAGTAATTTATTTTTTGTATCAATGACTTATGATTATGAATCATTTCCACCTTGTGAACAAAGCTTGAAATTGGGGAAAAAAAAAAAAAACTGCAAAACCAACCCAGTGAGCTATACTTTTGAATAAGGTACTTCCTTGTCATGTGTTGTTACTGTTTACGTTCTAAATTTAAGCAAGTTAAGTAGAGATTTAAGATTCTTGGAAAGTACTTAGCTTCTAGCATGCTTTTTCTTTCCCGTAGGGAATGAAGCATAATTAAATATGTTTAAGCCTAGTTTGGCATGCAGCACCCTGATCTACTTAGCACAGTACTTTCCAAGCATCTTAAATGTATGTATGCTAACTCACTTCTCTGTATCTTTCAGTATTTTTAGTATGAATTAACTTTTACAATAAGGAAACATGTAAATAACATTTAAAGCCATGCATTGTGTCAGTGTGAATTACTGTAATGCTCTTAAGATATTATTTGATTATAATTATCAAGAATCATAAAAATACTCTTTTTTCTTTTTGGGGGGGGAGGGTCCTCCTAGTTTGGGGGGGATTTTTTAAAGATTTTATTTATTTAGAGAGAAGGGAAGGGAAGGAGAGGAGAGAAATATCAGCATGTGGTTGCCTCTCACACACCTCCTACTGGGGACCTGGGATGCAACCCAGGCTTGTGCCCTGACTGGGAATTGAACCACTGACTCTTTGGTTCGCAGGCCAGCACTCAGTCCACTGAGAATCATAAGAATACTCCTAATCATTAAATTAGTATTTCCATTCCTAAGAATCTATCCTAAGTAAATAATTGTAAAGGTCAGGGAGAGGGAAACTATCTTGATGAATATGTTGCCTTTTATGTCCTAATTATTATAATAAAACATTAAAAGTTAAATTTTAAAAAATTATTATATTTTAATTTGGTAGAATAGTAGGTAGTCATTAAAAATGATCATAAAGACTATGTAACTAAAGTGGGGGAGATACTAATATAATATGACATCAGAAGAATGCAGAATCCAAAATCGCATCTGTATTTTTAGTGACATCTATTTAAAGACATGAATAAAATACAAATAAACACTAGAAGGAAAAAGTAGAAAAATAATTATATTGATTTTTTAATGTGTTAGGTTAGTGAGATTGTGAAGATTTGTTTCCTGACTATTGTTCTGTTTTGTAAATACGAGGAGGGAAAAAAGGAAATCCATCGTACACAGCAGAAAAATGAAGTAAACTGTATCCCTTTTCTGACCTACAATTACTTGTGTCCTCTAGGAAGTTTATTTCCTCTTCTAGTAAAAAGCCCTATAACCTATCAGTATTAATGTACTTGAGAGTTAAATGGTGCCTGTACTTTATCTTGACATGCATTTAAAAAAAGGTAGGTTGACAGTGCGTGGATATGTGATAATGTATTCAGCAAAGTTAATAATGATTAAATCTCAGTGGTGGTAGATGGGCATCTACCTTACATTTCTTCCAACTTTTCTGCATCTTTGAAAAATGTTTATAATAAAATGTAAGGCAAAAATAGTCTGAATGTTTGGGGGAGACTGAGAAAAATAATTCTATTTTAGTTTACAAGCAGAATTTACTAGGGAGTTTTTATTTTCTATGTGCATTATAAATTAACATCTATGCTAAACACCTGTGAGATACTTTCATTAACAAGGTAGCGTGCATTTGAAATTTATTGGATTTTCACATCTCTTTTCTCCCTCCCTCCCTCTCTCTCTCTCTCTCTAGCTATTTTGTTTTCCTTTATCTTACAAAAGATAGCCGTTTCCTCACCATAAACATCATGAACAAGACCACCTCGGAAGTGTGGCTGATAGACGGCCTAAGTCCTTGGGACCCGCCAGTGCTTATCCAGAAGCGAATACATGGGGTCCTTTACTACGTCGAGCACAGAGATGATGAGTTATACATTCTCACTAACGTCGGCGAGCCCACGGAATTCAAGGTGACATGCGAGTTCCTTGTTCTATAGGCTTTTGGTAAAGTGTAGAATCGATGCCACCTTGCTGTGCATAACCAATCCCATTTCTCTCTCCATAGAGCTAATACCTCTACATATTTTAACTGTGCCTTAAAAGGATAGTAAATAAAACATACTCTATCCTAATCAGATCAGTCACCACAGCCAAACTAAGTAGCTTAAAAGAGCAAACTTTTATAAATTCGTGATTTTGCGAGTTAGCCGTTTGAATCACCCTCAGCGAGACAGTCCCAGTGTCGGGCCCGGCTGTCGGCGCCCACACTCAGCTGTCCAGCAGACTAGCCTAGGCCCACTCAGTGCTGACGGCCACGCTTCAGCCTGATGCAGTGATCGCTTTCAGCTCCTCACAAAACAGTGAAGGATGGTATGTCTAGTTTTCAGTGGTTTCATCTGTGAATTCGGGATCTTGTAGTCATGATGTTCTGTTACCTGGGTCTCTTCTGACTTTGTTCCACACAGCTAATGAGAACAGCAGCAGATACCCCTGCTATTATGAATTGGGACTTATTTTTCACAATGAAGAGAAATACCAAAGTCGTAGACTTGGACATGTTTAAGGATCACTGTGTTCTGTTCCTGAAGCACAGCAATCTACTTTATGTCAATGTGATTGGCCTGGCAGATGATTCAGTTCGGTCTCTAAAGGTATGTTTAATTGTGAAAAGATAATACTGTTAATGAAAGTGCATGCAGTTAGCTTAACCAGAACATCAAATTTTGAATAACAGCAATGTACTATTTCTTAAAAGAATTTAAATGGAATTTAGCATGGTGGGTCTTTCTCAGATTTAGAAGTATGTCTCCTTCTATATACACTCGTCCCTCACTATATCGCAGTCCTCCTATTGCGGCTTCTCTGTATCGCGGGTTTGCAGTGAAGCTGCAGTAACTGAACTGTGACGACAAGCAAGGGACGACTGTACACTTCACTGGTGAGTACCCATACAGAGTTTTCTATGTTGTTAAAATTACGTAGGTTTAAGAGTGTAGAAAGTGTTTAGGAGCATATGAAGTGTTTATAAGAGTGTGGGAAAGGTGTATAGGAGTGTGGGAAGGATTTGTAACACTTAAAATATATATAAATAATACAATAAATATAACACCGCTACTTCGCAGATTTTCACCTATCACAGGGGTCTCTGGAATGTAACTCCTGAGATAGGTGAGGGATCACTGGATCCCATGTTTCTACAGCTTCAGCTATAGTAATAACTCAGGCCAGCCCGGCAGCTCGTGCCCAGCCGCCGTCTGCTGCTCCCGGCCCACACCCCCACTAGGGACAGCGGTCATGCCAACTGTGTGTCTGCCACTGCTTGCTTGCGCCTGCACCATCTCTTTGCCAATTTCCTCACCCAGAGCATCAGGAAGGGTGAAGTCTGATTTCTTTCAGTAAGGGGGTGGCAGTGGTCCCCACTGCAACACAGCTGTGACGCTGGCACATCTCCCTGGCAGGCTGACTCGCTGATTTTGCTTGTGGCTGCCAGGAAAGAGAACCTGCTTCCCCCGGCGAACTTAACAACAGCACCCTTATTGCCCCGTTTTAAAGCAGCATTAACATGGTTTTAAAGCAGCATTAACATGAGTTAAGATACCAGGCACTGCAGGGAACAGGAGAGGCCTCCATGTTGCTTGATATGGAAGGAGCGGTAGAGCACTGGCTGGTGTGGCTCAGTGGATTGAGCGTTGGCCTATGAACCAAAAAGTTGCTGGTTCAATTCCTGGTCAGGGCACATGCCTGGGTTGCTGGCCAGGTCCTCAATTAGGGGCATGCAAGCGGCAACCAGTTGATGTTTCTCTCACACATCTGTGTTTCTCTCTCTCTTTCTCTCTCCCTCCCCTCTCACTATAAATAAATAAAATGTTTTAAAAAAGGGGGGGGGGTGGTCATGGAGCCAGGTGACCAGCAAGCACACATCACTTACACTTCCCTAACTGCAGTATTGTCACAGTTTCTGTTCAAATGCAATTCCAGTAAGCTCCCAGGGTGTTTATTGAACCTCAGTGTGCAGAGCCCTGTACTGGACACTCTGGAGTGGAAAGACAGGGCAGAATATCTGGCCTAAGGAGGAGACAGTTTATCACGAGAGTCAACGAGGACACACAGAGTCAGTATGAGGTGGATTCAAACAAGTGGCATCGAGAATGAAAGAGAGGAAAATCACTATTAGAACACCACAGTAATAGTTGCTGTAGGCAAGATCCACTAACAGGTGCTAAAATTAGTGGGCATAAGTTCAAGGATAAACCTCATAAGTCTTCGTAAGAGGACTGGCATCACCCACAAAGTATTTATGAATTGCGAAGGGGAAAACAGCACCTCACAGTGAAAAACCTGAGAGGAGAACAAGGGTGACACCACGGGTGATAAGATCTGTTGGCATGTGCTCCCCTCTGGTATTCCTGCTAGAAATATGTGACCTCCGTTTGCTCATGAAACATCAGACAAATCCAGCCCTGGCTGGCATAGCTCAGTGGATTGAGCGCGGGCTGGGAACCAAAGTGTCCCAGGTTCGATTCCCAGCCAGGGTACATTCCTGGGTTGCAGGCCATAACCCCCAGCAACCGCACATTGATGTCTCTCTCTCTCTCTCTCTCTCTCTCCCCCCCTTCCCTCTCTAAATAAATAAATAAATAAATAAATCTTTAAAAAAAATTCTATTAATTAAAAAAAGAAAAGGAAAAAAGAAACATCAGACAAATCCAAATAGAAAGACATTCTACCAGATAATGGCCCTGTATTCTTCAAAATTACCTCAAATCCGGAAAGTCCAGGAAAGACTGAGGGACTGGGGCGGACCGGAGGAGACCGAGGAGACCTGACAGCTGGATGTAGAGGGGAGCCCTGATCTGGCTCCTCGGGCAGGAAAAGGACCCTGGTGGAAACACGGATAGGTGAAATGTGGGTGTTGTGTATAATTCAGTAAACAGTAAAAAATAATAAATAACTAGTATTGAAAACACAAAATGTGCCGTGAGGCCCAGAGGAGAGGAAGAAGGCCCAGGAAAGCTGTTTATAGGGGAAGCAGAATTTGAGATAAAGCCAAGAGGACAGATAGGATTGTGCCGGGTGGGGGCCAGCATTCTAGGAGGGGGAAGTCTATCAAAGTGAGCGCTAAGCTGGAGAAGCTCAGAAAATGCTCAAGAAACTGCTAATAATTCGGTTTTATCGAAGCAGAATAAATTTCTGGGGGGTGAAGCTATGATTTGACAATTTTTGATTGTCAGGGTGATGAATTTATGAATAAACAATGAAGGGGGAATGTTTGAAATTTGGGGGCAAAGAGTAATTTGAGGAGGCAAGCCCCACTTCGTGAGGTGGTGTGGCAGCGGCCCGTTCGGCTGTCCTGCAGCAACCGAGACACAGAGCAGGGAGGTCAGTTTTCAGGTAAAATAAAAAAATTACAAGGCTCTAAGACAACCAAAATTTTCCAGCTACCTCATAAAATCAAATTATCATCTATAATGTCTGGTGCCTTGGAAGATTATAGCGTTGCCCTAAAACAAAAATGGTTATTTAACTTGAACGAATTTTTACTGCTTTCATCCACTGGATTCAAAGTGGGGCTTTTCACCTGCTGATTGATGCCAAACTCGGACATCTTTCATTGGAAACTGGCGGGACGTCTCCTCGTGTTGCAACCTATGTGAACACAGGCGGGAGAGAACATTTAATTTATAGCAGCACGTTTATCACAACAAAATTCTGTCAAGAAAATTAGGAATGTCATGAGTTTACTCTGCTGTAAGATTTGACTTCTAAGTAAATATGACCTATATTTTTTGTGAGTATTTCTATTTTCTATGGTTTTAACTTGCATTAGAGGGGGCATCAGGTCTTTGAGTTCTTCTGTACGCTCTATGTTATTCCCTGACCTTCCCAGACTGTAGTGCCCGTTATTACCACGTGTAATAGTCTTGAGTCATCATCACATGGAATCTAACGCTGTCTCTACACCAGGTATTACTTAGAGAGAATTTCACAGATCAGAGCCTTTTCATTAACTGCATGATACCGATTAATATGCAAAGAGAGTGCTATATACAAAGGACAAAATCTTTAAGCCAAACTATGAGTGGATTAGAAAGTATTTCTGTTGTAACATGTCTGCCCAGTGGGCACTTGACTGACATATCTTTTTAAACTCAATCTCAGCAATAGAAACATAAAACCCTTAATATACTTGTCTCCTATCGTTGGTCATGTCATCCATATTTCCTAATATTTTTTTCTTCATAAAAAGTTTTGATGGTTTAATTGGTTATGATATTTAAGCAGATTGGGAAGTTTTTTACTTCGTGTTGACTTCAGTTTATTTGGTGGCATGTGCATTCTTGACTTTCAGCATTTACATCTTAATTGTTCTTTCAGTGCAGTTGCTGTGAGTTGCTTGCTGGGCAGACACTAAAGGTGAACCCATTCTGTCAAGTGTCTAGGAATAGCCATCTGCCTGTCACCTGGCTGACTTAGAATCATTCTTGGGTGCTGTCCATTAATACACATGAATGATACTGCAGGCTTATCCAAGTGGGAAATGTGGCTTAAGATATTCTTGAGATCATTAATACCTTATTTCTGCATGAGCTAGACAGGCTTTAAAATGTTTGCAGCCTTGGCATAGTTTTTGTTATGATTAAAACTTTAACCTTGATCCACTAGTTTAAGAAATACACCCAAAAGACTTTTTGATTTATTGGGACCACGTGGTGTAAAACCAAAACAGCTCACTATATGGCAGATCACACGGAAACTTTCAAAGTCTCACAAAGGACAGAAAACACCTGAGCTTCTGTGGGCTGAGGGCCCCTGTCCGCCCACCACGGCCTCAGTGTGCTCACCCCGCACACGCTGCCCGACCGCCAGCTCTCGTGATCCCATTTTCCTTTCTGGTCGTGGCTTGCACTTAAATATATTGTCCTCGAAAATGATCCTCAATCTGAGGAGAATAATTGGGAACTATTGTAAAGAAATACTGCAAATGTATGCCCTCATTAGTGTTTCAGGAAAGTAGAGTCTTTGGATTAATCACAAGAAATTTGCTCTGTAAACATCAGCTCTTGGGCTGTAGTTTCTACAGGGTAAACGGTGCGCTCTTTATGCACACGTCCCCCGGCAACCCTTCCTGGAGAGCACCCACCCGTGACTTCGCTGTGCCAGGACCTCTGATTTCCTCGGGAATTTGCTCTTTCTACAATTGCTTAGGCAAAGAAAGGCAATTTTCTTTTAATGTTCTGACTCTCAGTACCATTTCTAACACACTGTCAGCCTGCTTACCAGAGTTCTTTAAAAGGTGAAGAAGGATGTTAGTGGAAGGCTTGAACAGGACCCTGCTGCTTGGAGAGAATAAATTCTGATTCCTTTCCTTTTTTTAAATTAAGAATCTTAATCATAATAGCTCTGAGTCTCTCAGAGCAAGTGTACAGGAAAGGTTTTGTTCTGCACAATGGTTAGCCAGGGAGCTAAAGTTCGATGCAGATTGTAAACGCTCTCGTGCTGCTGAGCCGTTCACAGCCCGGAGTGGTGACTGCCATCACTGGCTGTCCCGACAGCGGGGCACGGGCTGGCGGGCGAGGTCGGAAAAACACATGGCAGAGGTTTCCTGCTCTGTGAGAACAGAGACCTGGGAGATGTCACCTGGTTCTGGAATTGCTGTTGGATTTGCTATTATTAACCATATTGCTGGAGATTGTTATGCTGAGTGAAGTAAGCCAGTCAGAGAATGATAAATACCAGATCTCACACGTGGAATCCAATGAACAAAAGAGAAACACAGGCATGGACACATGGAACAGACTGACAGCTGTCAGAGGGGAGGAGGGGAAGGGCACTGGATGAAAGAAGGTGAAGGGATTAACCAAAAAACATACATGCATAATGCACGCACATGGGCAACAGTGTGGGGACAGCCCAGGGAAGGGGGTGGGGGCTAGGTGGAGGTGGGCACAACGGGGAAAGGTGGACGGAGAGGGACTTTGCTTGGGGTGTTGGGCACATGATGCAGAGTGCAGATGCTGTTTCCTTGAGGTGCACACCTGAAACCTGTATGGCTTTGCAAACTAATGTCGTCCCAATACACTCAATTAAAAAATCATTTGGCTGTTATTTCCCAAGTTTATACCAGAAAATAAACTTCTTCATTAGAGATTTCATGTAAATCCAGAATCATGATAAACCTTTTTCCTTATTTTATTGGTCAATAGTGTAGAGTTGTGTTTGTTTTTTACATGAAATGTATTTTATCGTGCTAAAGTAATCCTTAAATGAAGCATTATGTGGTAATGGATAGAAGTATAAACTTGATGTTCACATTATCTTGTTTGGAGCAGGCCCAGGAATTTAATTAATTAATGATACTTAGTGTCTAGATAAGGAATAAAAATAACTTTTATTTCTTTAGCTCCCTCCTTGGGCCTGTGGATTCATAATGGATACAAATTCAGACCCAAAGAACTGTCCCTTTCAGCTTTGCTCTCCAATACGCCCCCCCAAATACTACACATACAAGTTTGCAGAAGGCAAACTGTTTGAGGAGACTGGGCATGAAGACCCGATCACGAAGACTAGTCGTGTCCTACGTCTGGAAGCCAAAAGCAAAGTGAGTCTTCTTGGTCATCTCCACTGTCATCCGCTGTTTACCGAAAGTCTGCAGTTTGTCGAGTGTCGGGCAGTTGCTGGGTAAATCAGTTTTGTAAAGTAGATCTCATACCATAAGACCCACATGATTTCAGGGAATATGTGGGGGGGGGGATTATTTTTAATTTTAAGACGAGAAAATTCAAAACTAGCACATCAAGCCCTTCATTTCAACAAATGCAAAAACAGAAGATAGGACGTTTAAATGACTACTTTTCAGTCCATTTGATATACCTCTTAGGGAGAAAATCATTGTTAACCACTTAATGTATTACCTTCCAGATTTTTGTGGTTTTTGTCAACAAAATATGTATGTTTAGGCTTTGTTTTACAAACAATGGGATTTATACCAGTCCGTCAAAATATTGTAATTATCGTACCCCAGATGGAAGCTAGGTTCTCAGAGAGCCAGGGGCTCATTAAGAAGGGAAGCAGCGGCTGAGTGCATGGGCTGCCATAACTTTGCAGGCACTCGCGCCCTGCTGGTGAAGGCAGGGACCCAGCCCGTGCGGGACTTGCTGCCCTCCTGGCCTCTTCCTTTCCATGTGTTTTCACCAGCAAGTATTTCTCTGCTTGTTTAATTGAAGTTGGGGAGGAGGTAAGGAGACGAAAAGACCAAGATTATTCTGTAGCAATCACTCTACATCATTATATAAGAACAAATTGCACTGAGAAGTGAAAAATGTTATACTGTTGAATGAGTTTGGTACAGTAAAGAATAACAACAGAAAGAGTTACTCCTTATTAGATGACACTCTGGGGTTCAAAGTGAGAATGAAAATGGTGGGAGCTGCCCTGACTGGTTTGGAGCACTGGCTGGGCGTTGAACCACGAAGGCCAAGGTCACAGCTCCAGTTCCCCTGTCACTGGGTTGTGGGTTCATCCAGTCCCAGTGGGGATGCATAGGAGAGGCAACCAGTCAATCCATGTTTCTCTCCCTCTCTCCCTCCCTCTCTCTCCAAAAATAAAATCTTTTTTTAAAAATAGAGTGGTTTAGTTATATTCTTTTCCTCATGTAAACTAGTGCTATTTCATTAGTTTCTGTAAGCAGGGTGAGAACCCACTTTCCCACCCTATTTGAGTGAAACGAAGATTAGAAATAGTTCAGATTATTTTAATTTTGTCTATCCAGGGAGTGCCTGGTTTCAGTCAATTGGGATTGATGAATACGGGCTACACTGGGGAATAGTTACTTGCCCTAAAAGTAACTCAGGTGTTAAAACTTACAAAACTTACTTACAGCTCTTGCCGGCAGTTCAGCTGGTGGGAGCGCTGTCTGGGTTTACAGGGCGCGGGGTGTGGTCCCGGTCAGACACGTGCAGGACTCAGCCAGGGAGTGTGGGTGGGCGGGGCAGCAGGTTGAGGTCTGCCTCCGTTCCCCTCTCTCTCTAAAATCGGTAAATTTAAAAAAAGGTTAGAAACTTACTTTTACACATTTAAAAAAATAAAGCTCAGTAGGTCTTTGAAGAGGCTGTGGGTGGTTATCAGTAAGGTCAGCACAAGATTTCAGGTGCTAATGTTGAGAATTCTGTCTATCGAGGACAGAAAAGTGGGCTGTTAGAACTTCTGTAGTTTGCGTCTTCATAAATATTTTAAGGTGAACCGTGCTGGTAGGTAGCCCCAGGTACAGGAAGCACATCTGGCCTTAATAGGTGTTTGGGCTTGTCCTGAAAGAATGTAATAGTTTGGGGTAGTGAAGAACTCTTTAAAATCATTTTGTTGTCACAAAAAGCTGCATTTAGTAAAGTGGGTTCAAGTCTTAGTCTTGCTACTCTTTTCTAGTTAATATTACAGGTCAGCGAAGTCGCTGAGAATAAGTATCGTAACATTTTAAAGACCATGACTCTCTTCATTAAGGGAAGTTTCTGCTCCAGATCAATAAGCAGGACATGAAACAGGATAAAAAAAACTTCTAAAATGCTCTTCTTTATATGCATAGTAACTCTTCGTTTCCAGGACGGGAAATCAGTGCCCATGACAGTTTTCCACAAAACGGATTCTGAGGACTTGCAGAAAAAGCCTCTCCTGGTGCACGTATATGGAGCTTACGGCATGGATCTGAAAATGAACTTCCGGCCTGAAAGGCGGGTGTTGGTGGACGATGGATGGATATTAGCGTATTGCCATGTTCGGTGAGTCGGCACGCGGACCCTGGCGTTGGAGTGCGAGCGCACTGTCACAGGTGTCCTGGAGAGCTGTGTCGGGGGCAAGAGTGTGTCTTCCCACTCGTAGCTGGATTTCTGTGCTCCTGAACCCATGCTGGCGGAGCCCGCTCCAGTAACATCAGCTGATCCAAAAAGCAAAAGGGTACATTTTTTAGGATTTTGTACCAGATTTTTAGGGTTTTTAGAATAATAGCAAGCTTTTATTTAGTAACATTATTTCCATTCAATTTTCCTGAGTTTGGGTTTTTCTAAAATAGCCTCTTAAGCTGAACTCCTTTTTCCTACTTTGACTTCTGTTTTATTTCAGCTGTGTTCAAGACAAATATTATTTCATTTCTGCCTAAAACCTTCCACCACCTCCCCATCTCCATAATAAAATCCGATTTCTCAGGAGAGTATTTAACATCCCAGCGATCTCGCCCACCACTGTAGTGGCATCTGGCATCACTCCCAACATGTCCCGTGCTCCCGCCTCACACGTCCTCCATACCCAGCCTTGCTGCATCCTCTCCGGTGACAGGCCTCCTGCCCTCTGTGCCCCCGCACATGCTGTATCTCGATGCCTTCTCTTTCATTGCCTTCCGGGAATTCATAGTCTTCCTTCGGGACTCAGCTTAGGTATTATCTCCATCTAAAGCATTCGTGTTCCTGACTCACGAACATGCCCCTAACCTGAGAAGTGAATGGTCCTTCCTCTGCTTCGGTGATGCTTTAAATACACTCGTGTTACAGCAGCAGCATTTTGCTTGGTAGCTGTTTTCCTTCCCCACAAAATTTTTATCTTCTCCGGGGTAGCAGGTTTTTGCTTATTTATATTTTTAAGGCCTGCATTTAGCACAGTGTCTGGTAAATAATAAGCAGTCACTCATAACATATTTGTTGAATCAAGTTTTTTATTATCTCTATCAGGGGTTAGCAAACTATTCTCTAAAGAGCCAAATTATAAACATTTTAGGCTTTGCAGACCACATAAGGTCTCTGCTGCATATTCCTGGTTGGGTTTTTTTCTCCCAACCTCTGAAAAGTGAAAACCATTCTTAGCTCGAGGGCCATACAAAAACAAGCCTCCGGGTGGATTTGGCGCACAGGCTATAGTTTGCTGACCCCTGACCTATACTATTAATTTTTTTCCCCACTGAAACCTCTTTGCCCTTTAATTGCAGGGGTGGTGGTGAGTTGGGCCTCCAGTGGCACGCTGATGGCCGTTTAACTAAAAAACTCAATGGCCTTGCTGACTTAGAAGCTTGCATTAAGACGCTTCATGGCCAAGGCTTTTCCCAGCCGAGCCTAACAACCCTGACAGCTTTCAGTGCTGGAGGGGTGCTTGTGGGAGCACTGTGCAATGCTAATCCAGAACTCTTGAGAGCTGTGACTTTGGAGGTGAGTGCACGCTGTCTCTAGCTATTTACAGGATGGGGTATGGGGTGGCATGGAGCCACAGGCTGCCCTAAGAAAAAAAATGTGTTTCACCATAGCATATGAGTATAACAAAGCTTTAAACACAGAATTGTAGCTCTGGGAGAACTTCTAAAGTTATTTTACTCCAACTACTCATTTACTTACTCTTCCCTGACAGTGTTCTTGATTCATTTTTAAGGATTTTCACTGAAGGATATTAATGGCTATTCCCACTGATCATTTTTATTTGTAAGAACATTTAGAGTTGGTAGGGGAGACAAAGCATGTGTGACTCATCAGTCCCAGGAAGTAAAGCAGAGCGCACTGGGACTCTGGAATGCCCAAAAGCTTTGACTCTGTCGCCCACCAGCATTTCCGTCCTGGAATAGGGGGCTCGCTGTTTTTAGGTGCTCCATTCTTAGTGGTCCTTAGGCGTAGTTTTTCTACTCTTACATGGAAACATCTTGCTCTGTTCTGAAAATGCTCAATAGTCATTTCCTGGTATCCAGAATGATGAAGTTATAGCAGCTCATTTCACCTGCTTCTTGGTTAGATACTCTAGAAAATATGACTGGGATGAGCAGAGCAAATTATTTTTAGTCTTTTTTTTTATTTTGAGGGCGTGGAGTATACACTGTGGGATTGTATTTAGTAAATGTGTTAAGTAATCCTGAACTGTAAATCTGTTTTTAAAATATAAATGCTAATTGTGGGAGAAAAATCTATCCACAGAAATAGCAGAATGGCAGAATCATTTACAACATAAAGAAAATGCAACTAATCTTTGACTTTTAGAAATTAGGAAGGAAATCAGGTATGTACATTTAAGGATATTTATCCCACAGTGCTTATAATAGTGAAGTACTGGACCCACCTACATACCCAGCAGTGAGTATCTGTACATGAATCAGAGTTGTTAATCAGAAGCACCAGAAACACCAGAAACCAGCTCCTGACTAATTTAAGCAGAAGAGGGATTTATTAAAGCATATTGGGTGGGGATGCATATAAAACCAGTCTCAGAGGCTGCACAGCTAGACACATGTCCACAATATGCCATAAAGCCATCCCATGGAGCTCTCACTGCCATCACCACTAGGCACAAGTCACCCCACACTGCTGGTGTTGCTTCTAGAAACTCCGTATAGCTGTGGCGGTTTTACCAGAATAAGTTCTCTGTGTTCCCTACTTTGAGCCAGTAACTGCCCATTGAGAGTTTGGTGCACGTTATGTCTGATCAGTGGACCTAAGTCCTGTGGTTATTCTCACACTGCAGGAGGAGCTGAGAAAGGAACTCTCTGGCATTTGGTGTCTCTACAAACTGTCTCAGAAGATTTGGGAGGCTGTAAATGCAGAAAGGGAGTTCAGATGTTAGGGAGCCAAAAAGAATTACATGCCCACTATGTATGATTAGTGTTAATATGAAAGAAGGTTGAAGTGCATGTTAACAGAACTGTAAGGCTAAGGGAAAAAGCAGCTGCCATTTCATTAAATGTTTAGCACTGGTTATGAGCCAATGAGTGATTTTTCTCATCTTTCAACCTGGATATTATCCAGATTTTCTTCAACTAGCATTTATCTTTTTTTTTAAATGTATAATATCCATCTGGTGAAGAGTTTATTCATGTGTCACTGAGTGTCTATTTTTAATTTTTAATTGTGGTAAAATAACAAAATGTACTTCTCCACCATTTTTAAGTGCACAGTTTAGCAGTGTCAGGCACGTTCACGCTGCTGTGTGGCCAGTCTCCAGGACTCTGCATCGTGCCAAACAGAAGTCCCCCACCCCCACCCCATCCCCCGCCCGGCCCCAGGAACCACTGTCCTGCTTTCTCTCTCTCTCTCTGAACTTGGCTACTCCAAGGCACCTCCTGGGAATGGAACCATACAGTGTTCTTTGTTCCACTCAGACAGGTGTCGTGTCCTCAGGGGCCATGTGTGTTGTGGCATGTGTCCGAATTTCCAGGAGCTAGCTGCCCTCATGGACGTGAGGTGGTAGCGTTTAGTACTTGTACATAAAAATGTATGCGTGTGAATAAAAGGCACAAAAATTGTGAAATTAGAAAATAAACCTATTCTTTTTATATAAATGTCCCTTAAGGGGTTTATAGTTTTATATAAATGTCATAAAGTCTGAATACCTTAAAGGCCAGTTACAGGCGCCAGGCACTGGGCAGGACCGAGCAATGGGTCTGGCGCCTGGGGTCCACGTGGCTGCTCCAGCGCCGTCCTCTCTCGCCGGCACATGTGCCCGTGAAGCGTATTTTCCTGAAACTCATTTCACTGACTTGTTTGTCAAAGTTTAAGTTTCTTTGGCCTTTTTTTTTTTAGGCACCTTTCTTGGATGTTCTCAACACCATGATGGACACCACACTTCCGCTGACACTGGAAGAATTGGAAGAGTGGGGGAATCCTTCTTCTGACGATAAACACAAGAACTACATAAAACGATACTGTCCCTATCAAAACATTAAACCTCAGGTAGTGAGAGATAGTTATGACATCACTATCCAGCAGTGACGGAGAGGGTAGTCAGGAGGCACCCACCTGTGCTGAGGCCAGAATTCGGTCGACCTTTAGCTTGTTCCTCCTCATCAGACCCAAGTAGTTTTTGGCACCGTCTCTGCTCCTGTTCCACGTTTGTTTCAGTACGGCCGTGGTCTCTCTAGTCAGGAAAAGGCTATTCCAGGGAGCAAGTAGACCAGTGCTGTAATGCCATAGATCTCTCAAGATATCCAATGAGGAAAATAAGGTCTAGCACTAAGGGGGAAAAATTGGAGGGTGTTATTTTTCATAATCTATGAGGTAAGAGGGGGCCATAAGGAATAATACAAACTCTTTGTCCTTCGGTTTTCTCGCAGCATTATCCTTCAGTTCACATCACAGCTTATGAAAATGACGAACGTGTACCTCTGAAAGGAATCGTAAACTATACTGAGAAACTCAAGGAAGCGGTTGCAGAGCATGCTAAGGACGCTGGTGAAGGTAGGCGGCCACCTGGAAGCGGGGAACATAGCCGAAGGGACTGTTGCCTTTAGCATACCGCTCAGAACACTACACTTTATGTACAGACCAAATCACCCCCCCGGGATTTGTGGACAGACTGACTAACTGAAGCATACATTTTAACTGTAACCGCCTTGCCTCTTTTTCAAAGGACAATATTAAAATAGGGTAGGCAAGGCACAAAAAAAGTAAAATTAAATATCAAATATAAATTGGAGATATACTGTCATACAGCCATTCATTCATTTAACAGTGTTAACTGAGCCATTATTCTTGAGAACCTCTGAAAAAACGGATTCTAAAGTGTTTGCTGTGGAGCGTCCGAACTGGCGACTGTAACTTTCCCTAGATCTTAGTATTTTATTAACAAGAACTCTCACCCTTTTTCCTCACTGAGACCTTCGGGACTTGGGGGGGGCGGGCAGGGAGCCACAGCGAGGTTCTCAGGCAGCTGCCCCGAGGTCAGCTCCACCACACTCTCACCACGGCGGTAGTTGGTGCTTCCCGGCCTCAGGACTCTCAGTCTCCACCTGGCCCCCTTCCCCATCACAGCCTTGTCCATGCGGCCCCACAGTCTCCTCCATCAGCCACTGGTTCCCCTCCTGCCTTCCCAGTTTCAGAAACTCATCTCCAGCTTGCCCCTTCCAGTCTCTCTGTAGGCAGTGCTGGTTTATGCCTTCATCCTTCACTATTACTTTAATAGATTACTTGGGAAAAGAGGGAAGAAATAGGACTCAGGTGGCCAAAAACTTTTTAATTGTTTTATCTGTTAACTTTTTCAGGCTATCAGGCCCCCAATATTATTTTAGACATTCAGCCTGGAGGCAATCACGTGATTGAGGATTCTCACAAAAAGGTATGTCATCAAGGCCCTCTCAGTTGCCAGACCCCCGGTAGAGAGGTCTCACACTCCAGGTTGAGTGGTCGTGGCAGGGTTTGTGGCAGCTGCTTTACGACAGCTGGGTTGTGACCGCCACCCTAGAGGGTGAGGAAGAACAGGAGTCAGTCAGGGGAGGCGGCGCCCTCTAGCACTTGGGGTCTCTGTTAACATAATTTAATCTTGATTGTTGGGAGCCTCTGTCTCTGTCCCAAATGAAAGTATCCCTGCTGTAAATTGCCGATTGCAGGGTTGGGTGAAGAAGATGGACAGGCTTAACACTGCAGTTTTACTACAAAGGCCTTCATTCTAATTTGTTTAATGTCTCTTTTAGATTACAGCTCAAATTAAATTCCTGTACGAGGAACTTGGACTTGACAGCACCAGTGTGTTCGAGAATCTTAAGAAATACGTAAAATTCTAAAATGTTGTATCTGATGGGAATTGGGAACACTGAAGTATTTTCTAGTTTTACTTGCTATTGGGTTAGCAAAAGTGAGCATTTTTTTAAGTTAGTGAATAGTTTATAAAAATTTGCTTCTCTCTCCAAATTTTGTTTAGTGTACATCTCACTTGTGGTGTTCTCTCCTTGGTGTTTTTGCTCCCTAACCTGGGAAAGTAATTTTCTAATCACGCTCCTTAGGAGGACGTGGAGCAGGGGGTGGGGGGAGGGGTGGTCACAGCAGAAACCACCGCCCCCCCCATCAGTACAGCTCCATTTTTGTCCGTTTCACTGAAATTTTCTTTGAACAGTTTACAAATCAAGGCCCTGCCTCTTTGCTAATGAACATTTTTGGTGGTAAGTCATCCTCTAGTTCCTGTGCCTGTATTTTATAGAGTAACGACATTAAAATGCATTAGATCTTTCTAATAATGAGGAGTCCTAAGGCATTCTGATGATCTCTGCTGATGCTATCTCAGTAAAGTTACAAGTTCCTGCAAACGATAATTTTCTTTAGAACATTTTATTATTCTTTAAAAACATTGGAGAAGTTTTCCTGAAACAGTTACATTCAAGTTCATAAAGTTTACCTAGCAGGCCATACATGAAATTAATGCAAATGCTTAGAACAGAGCAGAGCGCCGGTGCCTTCGTCTCTGTCGCAGAGGTGTCTAACACAAGCTGTACAGGACGTTTAGCACGCTGGAGTAGCATGCCCGGCTGGAGACGAAGCACCTGTCTCGGAAACCGGGCTGGTAGTGAAGGAGACTCTGAGTGCTGTATTCGAGGATGAGGCCTTCTCCCTTGTCCGCCGTCACAGCTCGTGTGTCGACCTCACTTCCTCTGTTGGCGGAACTGGTACTTAGCCTTATCCTCACTTTCGTGGGAATATTTGAAATCATGTCCTTTAGGTTTAGCTGTGATGATTCTCCGAAATTCAGAACCACGAGAAAGATCCTGTCGATGCCATCCATTTCTCTTGCGTACACAACGAAAGGGTTGTCGGTCCTCAAATAGCAGAACCAGCCCCTGCTGAGGAGCAGCTCATTGGCACGAAGTGAACTTAATTCTTGATATAACGTTAATGCTGATCTGGGCTGAGTCTTTTGGACCTTTAAAAAAAAGGTATTTAAAAGGTATTAAGATAAATGCTTGGTTCTATGAGTTTTTAAAAAATATTTCTAGTATCAAGTAAGAAATTTTCCCAAAAAAAACTTGCTGCAGTTTTGCCCCTTACAATCATCACCAAATTGTAAGTATTACAAAGGCCAGAGGAGTTTACTTAACTGCTGGTAGAAATTGCAAATGCAGGGTTTCACCTTGTCTTTGCAGCATGTGCTACATCATAGCCGGGGATGATGTAGAGGCCAAGCTTGACTTCACTTAACAAGTGTCCATGTCTGAGTTAATGGATATTTAACCTGCCTAAATAAAGCCCCCGTCTGGTCTGTTGTAACTGGCAAAAAAAGCAGCCACGATGGCCACAGACTCCGGGAACGTCTGGGCAACTGGGGCTGCTCTGTCCCTTTTGCAGAATAATGTGTAGGCTGCTGCCATAACTTCAGCTGCGTAAAGTAAATGTTAGTGCTTTTTTAAAAACCATTAAAATAACATGTACGTTAAAGAAAATTTGGATTTACTTCTTATTAATAACATACATAATTTAATGTATTTTTCTTGGGTTTTTTTCCCTTTAACATTTCAAGCATCTTCTGTTATTATATAACTTCATAAATGTCACTTTAATGGCATAATAATTCTTTTAAGTGGTTATACCATAGGTAACCATTCCTTTTCATTTCAAAATTCGTGTTTCTAACATTTCCTTATATTCTTACTGCCCCCTATATTTGGATTATGTATTTAGGATGTGTCAGAAAGACAGTTGCTGTGTCAGAGCACAGACACTTGATACAGGACGCCAGGTTGTCTGTCGGAGCTGTTGCCGAACCAGGGATGTGTTCACCTCCTGGTCCTCTCACCAGCGGTGCTGACAGTGGCGGCTTTGGTGGTGGTTCGGGGGCAGGGGCCGAATGTGTAGTCTTTAATGAGTATCTAATGGATGTTTAAAATACGTTTACTCTCTGTTTACAAAGGTATTTATGGTACGTGTATATGGTATATGTATATGACTTGTCAGATTACTATTGACATTTTCCGTAGCCTTAGATAATGCATGAAAAAGCCTACTTCAGTACCACTCACAGAAGAAGGGCCCAGTGAGTGTTAACTACGACTTTTGTCTACTTGATTTACCACTTTCTCAAAGCGTGTTGAAGTGTCTCTCTGTAATTGTGGACTTGTCAGTTTCTCTTTGTGTTTCTCCGAATACTTGTTTTATATATTTTGAAGTTATTGTTAGATGCATAGATTCATGATTTGTAGTGGAATGTTCTTTTATCAGGTTTTTAAAATTTGCCTTTGTCTCAGTGCTTTTCATATTGAATTCTATTTTGTCGGCTATTAAATATTTCCACACATGCTTTTTTGTAACTTTGCTTTTTTTTAGTAGGAAATGCATGTATACAGTATAAAACTCAATTATAAGAAGAATATGTAAATATATCAAATAAAAAGGTTTTCTTCAACACCCTTCCCTAGCTTCCCAGTGCCTCTGTCAGAGATAGACACTGTTGCTGTTTGCATACTCTTTCATTTTCATGAGTCACGAAATGAGCCTTCTGTGCCTGTGCAGAGATACACAGACACACTTTGTCTTACACACGTAGTAGCATCTTACCATTCTGTACTTTTACTATTTAGCACGTTAGAGACAGTCTCATGTCAGTGCACACAGAACCTCCCTCGTTCTTTTTAAAGTTGCATATTAGTCCATTGTGTGGATCTAAACATTTATCAAATGTTTATCAAAAACATTTGATAAAATTACATTGGAGCCGTATCAAAAGATACAGAGACCTAGAAATGAAATGACTCCATTGTGTAGATTAACCATAATTACACATAGGATTAAATGACATTTAAATCATATCTAATGATACAGATATCTGGGCATGAAACTACTCAGTCTAAAGGGATACAGTTTTTGTTTCGATGGCTATAGCCAGGAGGCAAGCGTTCTTTTTGTTAGCATTTGTCTTCAGTGTCGGGATTTTAATTCTGTCCTTTTGTTTAAGTCTTCTGTCAGATTTGCCTTATCTAATTGGAGAGTTTTATCTTTTAACAAGTAAATGTAACCCATGTATATCCATGATTGCCACATGTTTAGACCTAATCCTGTAGCCTAATTTTCTCTTTCATTTGTAGTCGTACTTTTTTTATTTTCTTCCTTTTTAGCTTTTTATTGGATCTGTTGGTTATCTTAATGTACTTTTTTCCTTCTAATGTTCTTTAAAAATTATACAGTCATGTCTGTTCTTCTAATGGCTACCCTTAATATTGTAGTGGCAATTCTAAAATATATTTTAATGTTTTATATCTCTTCTTTATCTATGCTGTCCAGTGTGGTAGCTACGAGCTACTGAGCACTCCCAGAACTGAACTTTTTATTTCTTTAGTAGTCACAGTGTTTAGGAAGTTTGCCAAACTTGATCACCATGGAAACAGAATAGTATAGGCAAAAAAGGGTGTGCTTTTCTAGAACAGCTACTTTTGGGGACTGTTCGTGTCTTTAGTTTCTTCAGGTATACAAGCTTGCTCTCAAGCCCTCACTACCCTAGACTGACCCATCGTCTTCCTTCCTTTCCTTCAAGGGGAAGAAAGGAGGAAAGGTAGCTAGGCTTGCTAATAGACCTCCGTAAAATTTCCCTAATAACTCAGAGCTCTTAGTCCGTCTGGTGAGGAGTTGTATACTCAGTGTGGTGGTTTGCATGGCATAATTTGTCCTGGTTTGTATGGTCACAAAAACATGACTTGGAAACTGTACGAGCAGTCTGTGTGATTGACTACAGAGCATCAGTTAAGGTTTTAGACTCATCTCCCGTGCTGGAGTCAGCGTCCCGTTCTCATGGGCACTTACATCAACATTCACAGCATCGTAGTCGGTGCCGGTGGGCAGCCAGCTGTGGCTGCCTTCAGAGAAGCCAGCATTGGAGCTGTTGTCCCACTGCATTGGTGACTTGGAAAGAAGGGTGCTCTGTGTCAAAAGACCATAAGGAGGAAATAGTGGTCTGGTTATTAATTGAATTGTAATTTGGCCATAATTTGCAACATAATGATTTCATTACCCACATTTCTTGGCAGTACTTGTATCATTAGCATTCATAATGAAAAGATCTTAACGTTCAGTACGTAACCAGTTCCACACTTTAAATCGGAAAGTTGTCGCCCTGGCTGGCATAGCTCAATGGATTGAGCGTGGGCTGCGAACCAAAGCATCGCAGGTTCGATTCCCAGTCAGGGCACATGCCTGGGTTGCAGGCCACGGCCCCCAGCAACTGCACATTGATGTTTCTCTCTTTCTCCCTCCCTTCCCTCTCTAAAAATAAATAAATAAATAATTTTTTTTTAAAAAGTTGTCAATGGTGTCTTGGGTTTGGATAGACAATACTAACTGAACTCTGACACATGCTTGGACTCTGCTGCAGCAGTGACGGTGCAGCCATGCGTGCAGCCATGCACAGGGAGCCTGGGGTCTGCCCTCTTACCCAGCCTGGTCATCGTGCATGAGCACGCACACACAGACTTAGGAGCTGAAATAGAAAGAGTGCCCTTTGACCAAATATTAGGGAACTTGGATCTCATACAATTGAAGCTAATAACACAAATCATAGGTCCAAGATTATTCATCTACCCAAAACACAATTATGAGAGTCATAGCCTCAAACAAAAGCAAAACATAAGCAGCCCAGCTCGTCTGAGGCTGTGCGTGAGTTACTTCTGTTGAAACAAGAAGAGTCCTTGTGCTGTGGTCAGGGGAGATGTAGCGGCAGAGACAAACACTAAATAAATGTTTCTGGACATGGAGAGGGCAGAAATCATACTCCAGACTCAAAACTGGTTCTCAAACTTGTTTCTGTTTAAAGATTTTATTTATTTTTAGAGAGGGGACGGGAGCAAGAGAAACATCAGTGTGTGGTTGCCTCTCACACACACTCCTACTGGGGGCCTGGCCCACAACCCAGGCATGTGCCCTGACTGGGAAGCCCACCCAGTGACCTTTCAGTTTGCCTGATGACACCCAACCCTCTGAGCCACACTGGGCAGGGCTGTGTACAGGCTCCCCAGCCAAAAAGGTTGAGAATCCTTACTGTCTTAACAGTAAGAAAGAAAGGCAAAATAACCATGATTTTTAGCTGTAGAACAGAAGTAATAAGTCATCTGCTTTGGCAAGAATGTGTATATGGTATAGTGCATGGTTAAATCATATTAACTTACAACATCATAGCTTTCGTTGAGATTTGTGG